TATGCAAGTAAGAGACATGCCCTTTTTACCATCGTGGGGGGCGGGCAGAGGAAAGCCTGCTTCTTAGACAGATTGTAAATTACCTTTTCTTGTTTGCGCCATGTGTTTTTGATTCCTTTCAGAATAAAGCCATTCAGTTATACAGTTCCTGGAATTAGCTGGGTTAAGCCTACCCACATCGCCTGCTTTGGTATGCACACTCTGCTGATAAGCAGATATTTTGGGTTTTGTAAGAGAGAGAAATATCCCTAGTTGCCTTGAAAATTTCAGTGGTGGCAAGTGAAACTAACCTGTTTTGTGAGTGAGGTTTGGGGGTTTTATGTTTATAAGTTTTATTCTATGGGGAAATTAGTATGTGAGATTGCTTGTCTGGCAATCTCTCAAGGCCCCTCTAGATACCCCTTTCATTGCACATTCATGATGATTTGTGCTCATGATACTATTGGGGCAGTCACACGTGATGCCACTTTCAATACTATTTGCACCTGCAGAAGTTTTGGAGTGGCCACACCACATCACTTCCAATCCAATCTCCTGCTGAAATCCCATAACTTTGTATATCGCAAATGTTCTGCTTTATCTTTGTCCCACTTTTGTAGCCACTCTGCAAAGCAGTAATGCGGTAGCATTGCAGAACAAACTAAAGCAGAATAAATCTACCACTAATGCACTATAGTTGAATCAAGAATATGCTGCAGAATTATTGCCGGCACCCATCTTTCTTGAGTGACAGTGCAGTGTGCCTCTGGGGGTGAAGTCAAACTGTTATGTTAGCAGCCCTGAAGTGTGCAAGCCTCAGGGCACAAGCCTAGGCAGTGTGTATGGAGCTCCTGGGATGCCCAGATGACAAGATTCCCCTCTCGGCCTCACAGTTGGGCCAAATGAAATCAAAGCAATGTGTTTGGCACCAGCTTGGCTGCAGGAGTTGCTGGAAGGAGGTGTGCCAGGCGCCATCTTAGGGACTCCACTCCAGATTTGTGTAGATGCCCCACAAGGCAGCTAAGGTTTACAAGCCCCATCTGCCCCTCACTTCCCTACAGAATATGCCTTCAGTAAAACAGCCTGGATGGGTTCTGAGCTGGAATGTTCATAGAACCTTTCCCACTGCACATGTGCAGCAACATGGAGTGTTTTTTATTATAATCTGAATACGAGAGTTGCACAAAGTCATTGAATTTGCAGCTGTTATAGTTCCAGAAATCCCTGTATACTGATGTGTGTGTGAGTGTATGTTTGTGAGAGAGGGGTGAGTTGGGGAGATGAACTCATGATTACAGTGTGGAAAACTGATTAGTGGCCATTGGTCCTTTGTTCAGTTTCTCAGTTGCCCTTCCTCCTTTTGGAATGCAGACACTGTTTTCTCACCCACTGAGATCTGGAAGTAATAAATGGGTAGTTACTGGGTTCCATTTCCTGACCTAATGACTGGAGCTAATCCTCAAACTGCAAGGTTGTCTGTCTGCAACATGCATCTCTCAGGAGTTCAGCTGGGAAGGATTTTTTAACTGGATTAAGTCCAGTGCTTTCCTGTGCTGCTGTGAAGGGAGTTCTGTAGTCTCTCTTCCTGGGGAGAGGGGACCATAGTGTCTGGGTTGCCAGGAGCACATGATTTCTTTGCCAGCAAATCCTCATCTGAAACTGATTTGCTTGGATTTCATCAGTCATCATTTGGCTGACAAACTGTACTGAATTGTTAGGTTTCTCCTCTCAACATCAATTTGCTCTGTGGAACAGAGAGAATCCCTGGACAAACGTAAACCTCGGCTAATTAGCAAATGGTCAAGATCAGAATGTTGAGAAGGCCCCTTTGATTTGATTACACACTGCAGAAAAGGTAAAATATGTTGATTACATAGAACCACTGGCAGTAGTGCTCCTAAACTGAACTCACACAATCAGAGAAGGCCAAACTCATTTAATGACAGATAACTTACTCTATTGGAAAAAGGCTGTAACTCAGTTAGCAGGAGGTCCCAGCTTCAATCTTGCACATCTCCAAGTAGGGTTAAGAGAGACCCTTGTATGAAACCCTGGAGAACTAGCGGTGGTCAATGTAGACATTACTGACCTAGATGGACCCATGGACTTATTATAAGGCAGCTTTCTACTTTCCTGTTTTGGTAATTGGACCAGTCAATTATCCCATGTTATTGAAATTCATTTAAGTTAACAGCTCAGTATGCATGGAGGGCACTCAGTGAAGAAATGCTGTTCCACAGCACCACACTTTGGAATCTCCTTGCCAGGTAGGAGCAGAGTCTCTCTCGAGGTAATAGCAGTATTACTCTACCGGGTCTTGCGTTAGAGTCATCAGCAGTTTATAATGAAATGTTGCTGAATGATCTAATCAGGCCAGCAAGGGAGAATTCCCTGTAACTAACAGACAAAAATGGTTGACTAACCACTGTTCCTGTTTTGAAACCTTACTGGATAGCACATTGGCACAGGTTCAGATACCCAGTCGCATCCAAATGATCCTGGCATTGCCGAGCAATGACCCATGGGCAATATAGTTTATCGAAAATGGGAGGCTTTTCAATAGCTTTAACATAATACGTGGAGAGGCCTTCAGTAAAAGGATGGTGTGTCATCCAGAGTTCATAACCTATTCTGAATCTGTGGCAACTAATTGCACTTTAATGATCATCTTATGCTTGCTTATGGGAGTGGGTGTGTGTATAATTGGGAATATAGGTAACGGGGGGTGCAGACCACAAGGGTGAATTGCTTGCTCTGGGCAAAAGTTGTGAATGTTGCCCATTGTATAGCCCAGTATATAGTTCTGGGGCAGAATCAGTGGTTGTGGTGCATATTGGCACCAATGACATGGAGAAATGTAGTCATGAGCTCCTGGAAGCAAAATGTAGATTGCTGGGAAGAAGGTAGTCCCTGAAGTCACAACCTCTGGCCCGTGGGCCTAACTAGGCTCCCCAGGCCATTTTCCCCCAAACCCACATGCACCTGCCCCTCACATGTCACAACAAGTGTGGGGTAGGCAGACGCACAGGTGCAGAAGGCAGGATTGAATTTCCCACATATTAGCTGATGTGTCAGGAGTTCAATCCTGCTTGGTCCACATGTACCAGTGAGTTCCTGTAGGGAACTGGCTTGCATGTCCAAAGCTTGCAGAAAGCAGAATTTGAATCAGCTGATGTGCAGAGAATTTAATGCTGCTGCGGTGGTATATCCCACACCTGTCAGTCACTTGACATTGATATGTGCAGGAGGGAAAATAAAGATCTGGCTTGTTAGGACAAAAAGATCTAGCTTTAGTCCTCTGATATTTAAACGATCATAACATTTTTCATCTTCATCTGTGGGAGAAAGTTATATGCCACACCAAATCTTCCTCAGCTGCTGTCCACTCTGCCCCCAATCAGTTTAAAAGCAGCTTTGCTACTTTTTTATTTCATTTTTAGCACCTGCTTAAATGAACTAGGTGGGCTTTTCTCTTCATTCAACAAGCTCTTCTAATGTTCTTGTGTATGTAAACTAGAATAAGGCTTGAAAAGCGTTAGGAGGGGTGAACTTCAGTGTGATTATGGATGGTATTCAATGAAATAATTGCTCATGTGAAATTGTGTGAGGGGACTTCCCCTCCATCACCCCCAAATCCGCTCCAGAAGGAAAACCTTAAACAGAAGATTTAGGGGGGCTGCTGAGGAAGTTGGTGAAATGTTCTGTTATGCAAGGAGAAATCAATGCACTGCTTGAACATTTCCCTTAGTGCTGCTTTGAATACAACCCAATGCCTCAAGACAACATTTTTCAAACGTTTGACTTTTTCAGAACTCTGTTAGCATTATTGGTGGCAGAACCACTGCACATCTGCCACAAAACCCCAGTGCGATGTCATATTTTGGGGCACACAAGTGCACGCAGGGCATGGACTCCCTGCTGCCCTGTATGAATAGTTGGCGCAACCTAGAATGTGTTCCCCTGTGGCCCCATGTGGCAGAGCAGTCCTTGAGGATAGGCTGCCTTATTTTCTCATCTGCGACCCCCTGCTAGGCTTCCAGTGAACCTGAAACACAGTTTGGTAACCCATTTTCTTAGCAGACCCACAAGGACTTTTTTCCAACAGCAAACAAATAGATTTTTTTCAAAAATGACTTTCCCCATTCCTCTTTTTAAAAAAATCCTCACATCTTACATCTCAGTGCTCTGCCTCCTTTTCCTTTATTTTCTCCTCTTCTTCCTGATGCGGCTTGAAGAGGAACCATTTCCCAAACAATTTCTGAAAACTGTCCAAGTGATGGCTGGGAAAGCAAACAGACCTGTTTTTCTCAAGCTGTGTTTTGTTTTTTAAAAGCTCTTTTGAAATCATTTCAATCTGCCGTTTGGGAAAGGCCCACAGGAATTACGGCCTTGTTTCTTCCCAAGTTGTATCCTGCAGAAGTGGCAGCTTTAATAGGCTTTCTGAGGTGTGTAATTTTGGAGATATTTAGAGGTAACCACCACTTCTGCAGGGACTGTAGGTGGTTTTGACCTATCACCCTCCTTTCATTGAGTTGCCTTCGGTTTTATTGTACTGTTATTCTGGATTTAAAGCAAGAGATCAGATTTTAGGAACCTGACAGCAACCAGGTTGTCTGTGGCAGTTGCAGCATCTGAGGACTGGGGTTATAAACATGTTAGCTCCCCCAGTGACTCTGGGGCTAGCCACCGGAGACAGAAGTTGTGAGAGGCATCAGCAGCACTTTGAGTGAGGAAGCCCTGCCCTCTGAGGAACGAACATCTGGCTGCTTTGGCAGCCATTTCTGGGCCAGGGTCATTTCCTGTGAGGCCAGCTGTGACCCATCAGGGTAGCAGTTAGAACATCTCAGGAACTGCGGTGGAGGGACCTATATGTACTTTTGCCCCTCCTCATTGGCTCTTGGCTTTTAAATTGTATTTTAAATGTATTTTAGGTACTCTCTGGGACTTACAGGCTTGTGAGGGGTATAAATGCTCCACATGAACATGCCCCCAAATTTATTTTTTTATTCTTTACCACCTAGGATTTCTGCAAAGGATCTGAAAAACATGCTGTCACAAGTGAACTACCGTGTGCCTAACATGAAGTTTCTGCGCGAGAGGCTAACAGTAAGTGCTCAATATTCTTTGCCCCTTTAAACAAGCATTCTCTTCACAGTCATTGCCATCAGCTGCACCATAGCATCAATTGGGGAAGGGCCATAGCACAGCATTGTCTACTCCGGCTAGCACCAGCTCTGTGGAGTCTCAGAGAGAGAAATGTTTCTTCTGTTCACCTGATCCTTTTAACTGGAGATGCCAGAGATTGAACCTAGAGCCTTCTGAATGAACTATGCTAGAGCATATGCTCCTACCGTTCAGCAAACTATTAAGAGACTCTGGGCATGCACTCCCACTTTGTATATTTAAAAGCACATCGGTGGATCGCAAGGATTGTAGTGTTAAAATACCGCAGTCATCTCAGCACTCCGATTTCCACAAATAGGAGAACTGAGGTGTCATACATGACTGAGGACGAGTGTTATTTATTAAGAGGATTTTCTCCTCCCCAATCTCTCATTTTAGGATGTGGAGCAGAGAAATGGCGATATCACATATGGACAGTTTGCCCAGTTGTACCAGAGCCTGATGTTCAATGCACAAAAAGGGGTGAGATGCTTCTAATCGTAATATTTGATACTTTGTAAAATCTATGCCTCCTCTTTTGTTTTGGTGCTGTTTCACTTCCTATTACTTTCCCTTTTGTTTTATCGAGCATGTGAATTGAATACATTTCAAATAGCAAACTATTTCCCTCACCTGCACTTATGACCCTAACTAGAAAAAAAATCTGCCCCTACAAATGGAAGGTGGAAAATGGGAAGCTGCTTTTGCAGTTTAGTTTCTAGTGCCGAGTACAGGTAACCCTGATCAGAAAAGTGAGGATCACCAGCTCTCTCACATCAGTTCTCTACACGGACCAGGACTTGCTGTTGCTATGTGTGCTGCTGACCTGCTATTGTGAGAGAAAGGGACTCAAAGACAGACAGTAGAGTTCTGAAAAGGAAGAGGTCTCAAGTTTACTTGCCATTTTGTCTTTGTTTTTACAGGAAAAAAGTGTTATGTGAGCTCTCACCATTTGTCCATCTCCAAACCCCAAGCATCTCTCTAACTTATTTTACTGTATTTTTCACTCTATAGGACGCACCGGACCATAGGAGGGGAAGAACGGGGGGAGGGGAATTCTCCCCCTCTCTGCTCAGTGCCCCTTCAGCGAAGCGGCAGGAGAAACGGAGCCCCTTCCATTTCTCCTCCCGCTTCACTGAAGGGGCACTGCACAGAGATGGAAAACTGTGCAGCGCCTCTCCAGCGAAGCGAAGCCTGGAGAGCAAGAGGTATTGGTGTGCATCGGTGTGCCTTCACCCTGCTGCCCTGCGGAGGCTTTGCGCAGCTAACCCCAAGCTAGAACAGCGAGACGGAGCGCTGCGCAGTGCTCCGTCTTCCTGTTCTGGCTTTGGACTTCGCTGCTCTATAGGACTCACACACTTCGCTCTATAGGACACACACACATTTCCCCTTAATTTTTGGAGGGGAAAAAGTGCGTCCTATAGAGCAAGGGGGGAAGTGCGTCCTATAGAGCGAAAAATACGGTATGTAAGAACTACATGACACTCTTCAGTAAGAATATTTTTAGGACAGCTTGCAAATAAAACAACAGAACAATAATAGTAAAACAATGATGAGAATGGTGTCATCACTGAGTTGTCCCCCCAGCCCACATCTTTTATTTCATTCATTTCATGTGTGAGTATACTGAAATAATGATGGCAGGCACAGCCTAAAATAATGGGCTGTGATTAAGCCGCTGCATTTCTTTACTGAAGTGTAAAGTGTGACACTGGATATACCAAGCAGAATCAGCTGATGTGTGCATTTTCCCCCTTTTGCAGATGGCTATTCCATTCTTGGAAAGGTAAACTGCTCTCTTTCCTATATACAGTGGGAGGGTTGAGTGGGTTGGAAATTAGACTTGTTTATGAATGTATGTTGACATTTGACTGCAGACTGCTCGTTTCCTCAATAGGACCCTATTCTCAATATGTCTTCAATGAAGGGCCTTGTTAGAAAAATGCTGGGCTGAGCTGTTTGGTGGTGGAATTTCTAAATCAGGGGTGTTCAAAACAGACTCTGAGGCTAGGTTTCTCTCTTCCCATTCTTAGTTCACCATTGGCATGGCAATAAATCTATTTCGTAGCAAACTGCAAAATTCAAACAAGTTGGAGTGATTTTTATGCCCGTTGCTGTGACCACAAAACTTGGATTTTTGCAGATAGATTGAACTAGCTGATGCAAAACCCAGCCAACATTTCATTTTAGATCTGTTACTATCTTTTGATTATTTGGATTTATGCCTGCTAGTGCCCTTGCCCAGTGGCAAAGTGGGTTATCTGGAAATGATCCATTTCTATGTAGAGAATAGCACCGCTATTTCTTCCTTTGATTTTTTTGACTCGTTATTGCCCTGTGGGAGAGGGAGGAGCAGAGACAAGGAGCAAGGCTGTCATGTATGACGATGGTTGAGGCTCCCTAGTTGCTTTCAGTAATCCATCTCAGCTCTGACACTGTCTTCCTTGTTTAGTCGATTTCTCAGTGCAGCAGCTGCTTGTTCTGTAGGGTGATGCTTTCTAACCAATGTGTCTTGTCTGTGCTTCCTCCTCCAGCAGTGCAGAGAGATCTGAGCACTGCAGGGTATCACTGAAGGAGTTCCAGATGTTTCTGCTAGAATACCAAAAGGTGAGTTTGTGCAATAGAAAGGGAAATGGAGAAAGAAAGCAGCACAATGTGATAATCAATGGCTCAAATTCAACACAGTGTGACCACTCATAGGCAATTGAGAATTCTGAGTTCTTTAAATAAAGTTGGGTTCCTTGCACTGGTGCTTAGAAATAAGTGGGATCTTTCAGCCACAGTAACAATTAGAAAATTTGGAACAGCAGTGCCTTATTTCACAGGTTGCACCGACACATAAGAAAACAATATTTAAATCTCATGTAACTACTATAAAAAAATAACCAAACAAGTACTCTTACTCAGAGACCAGGCTTCTCATCAGGTTTACTATGTTAGCAGTCATATAAGTAACACATATGGAGTCCAGAGAGAAAATAAATCCTGTTAACACTTTACTGGGCAAAAGTGAACAAAGACAGTGTATATAATTTGAGGGGAAAGTAACAGAGAGGCATTACACCAGGCCTTGTCCATAGCAGGGAAACACTGAACCCAACATGCAGAGGAAACGTCCCTCAGGAGCACACAGCCAATATGTTGCCTCAGTGTTGATCCTGCCACTATGCCTGGTTGCTAAACAGGCCTCCTGTCCCCCTCTTGGCTAGTAGACACTAACAGAAATAACTCCTAAGTTACAAACTGAATGAACCCTCCTGTTGCATTTCTATCATGCTGCTAACCTTCATTATTGTGGTCCTGAGGAAAGGGGGATGAGGGATTAAGGCAGGATTCAGGATGTGGTTGGGGAGCTGGGCAGACCAGATGAGACCAGGCGCCAATGAGACTAGATGCTTTAGGCTGCCTTAGAACTATAGTGGATTTTCCATGACATCCAATTTCTCTTCCTCTGAGGAGCCCCCCCCCCTAGTCCTAATCCTGATAGCTGGTTAATAGGAATGCAGCATGAATCTGCTGAGTTGGTGGTTTTTTTTTAAAAAAAAACCTGTGCTGCTATGTTTTAAAGCTAGATGCATTTAGTGGTCTGCATTTCTAATTGTTTTATAGACTTTTCTCTTTGTCGTAAGCCACTTCAAACAGAAGGGAAGTGGGATGCAAATATTACAGATAACTGTATGGCTGGAGAACAGTCTGACGTCACATGATGCAGAACACTTTGGATGCGAACGAGGGCTGCTAGGGTGGCAGAGAGGCTGCCTGAGAATCTGAGCTCTCGGAAGAGATTGGGAGAATGGGTGGTTGGTGGTGGAAATGCAATACGGCTATCGCCATAATTATTTATTGCAATAACACTGGTTCACAATGGTACAATGCAATTTGGCAAACGACGTTATTGGAAAAACTGACACAAAAATTAAAAGTAGCAAGAGGCCCAAAGAAACACAACAATTTTTATTCTGCCTGGTGTGACTTTATTGATTGCACAAATAATGAGGCATATGGTAGAACAGTACCCATGTGTGAAGTAAATATTTCATTTCCGCCTCCCCCCCCAAATTCTAATTGTTACTGATACAAAATATATTCAGAAATGTCTTTCTGAGTGTTTATGGTTGTTTTAATTTTATGTAGTTATTGCGTGCCATTTGCTCTAACGCAAACAAATATATATATCTCAATGCAACCATGTTAAACAGTTCAAAGAAAATGGAAATGAATAAAAACGATGTTAGGGGAAAAAACACCGATTCGAATTTAAATAGACCAGGTAAACTGGAAAAACACTCTGTGCTTGTCTGAGCTGTTTCATGTTGCATGTGGCTGCCAGCTTGCAGTGGTCCCAGGAGTGCATTAAGATATTCACTAACTAGCACAATTTCTGTTTCATCCTGCTGATATTGTAGAATGAGGATGATATGCCACTGGAGAAGTAAACAAAAAGAAAACAGCCCGTTTTCTGAGCACATAATGAAGGAGAGGGAGCCATAAAGTCAAAGAGCAAAATAAACCATGTCTCTCCTTGCTCTTTCCTTCATTACTCTGATAGGAGTTGGGGATATTATCTGGCACAGGGCATAATCCAAGCTCTGGGCTTGGGAACAGCGGCAGAACCACTGCCATGTCTGAAGCCCTGTTGCTCCCCAGCCTGGGTGTGGAGCAGTAATTACACTGTGTCACACTGGCACAATAGAGAGGTCTATCACTTAGGATCCAGTGGGTCACTGCTTGGCCAAGCTCTACTCTCTCCTTGGCCCCAAACACCCCATTTCATGGGTTTACATTGGTCTACCTGACTTGAGAAAAGTCATTAAGGGCCTCTTGAATATGTGATTTGTTGTCCACGTGAAGCTAATTTCTGTGCATCACTGATTCCCAGAGAGGTTTTTTATTTTCCTGCAAGTACACTTAGTGGGCAGCTGATGTGTGCTGGGACCTCAAACTCTTACGCTCAGGGTGAACTAGACTTTCCTGCCCCACTTTGTACCTGGTGGTGTGCACAGATTGTTTTTGGGATGTACACAAGGAGAACCAAATGGCCGTAATGATAATACAGAAAGGGCACTGTTCTCTAGCAATGAACTTCTGCTATGTTGTTTGGGTTTGATTTGCATTTTCTCTTGTCATTTCTCTTTCTTTATCATTTTGTTTTTCCTTGCATGGAGATCATTTTCATCTAGTAAAAGTTGTGGTTGTCCAGAAAGCCACACTGGCTTGGATGTTGGCATGTTTCAGTGATGCTTTGAGCAGAGAGGGGTGAAATCTTGTGTTGATAATGGTTAAGAGCTCTGAGCTGTGAGGTCCCTGGTTGAAATTCTGGCTTCGCCACAAACCCACCATTCCACATATTCTCCAAGAAGATCAGGGCAGCTTCCTCTGTGGTTCGCCATTTTCTCTTCGTAGCTACCTTGCTAAAAGGACCCTGACCATTAGGTCCAGTCGTGACCGACTCTGGGGTTGCGGCGCTCATCTCGCTTTACTGGCCAAGGGAGCCAGTGTACAGTTTCCGGGTCATGTGGCCAGCATGACTAAGCCGCTTCTGGCGAACCAGAGCAGTGCACGGAAACACCGTTTACCTTCCCACCAGAGCGGTACCTATTTATCTACTTGCACTTTGACGTGCTTTCGAACTTCTAGGTTGGCAGGAGCAGGGACCGAGCAACGGTAGCTCACCCCGTCACAGGGATTCGAACTGCCGACCTTCTGATTGGCAAGTCCTAGGCTCTGTGGTTTAACCCACAGCACCCCCCGCATCCCAGCTACCTTGCTAGATGTAGGCTAAGCTGAGAAATAGCCCAACACAATCACCCATCCTTCACTCTTCATCTGCAATTCAGGGGTGGTAATACTGACCCACCTTACAGAGCTATTTTAAGGAATTCTGAAGCAATAGATGTGACACACGTCAAGCACCTTAGGATTGAACTGAATGTTTGGATATGCTGGAAGAATCTGGCTTCTGAAAGTTTCCTTGTCTTGTGTTTACAGGAACTTTGGGCTACTAACCTCCTCTTTGTCCAGGACTTCATGTTCAACTTTCTGAAAGACCCATTGAGGGAAATCGAAGAGCCTTATTTTTCCCTGGATGAGGTAAGACTCCCAAGAATCTACTGATGTGGGTGGCTGCAGCGGAGCTGGGGTGTGTGTGTGTGAAGTGAGAAGGTACATTGCACAAGCCCCTTTTACAGTTCCCCATGGATGCTTTACAATTCCCTGTTCTCTGATAGGCTTCCTGCTGGCCACGTTGGAACCAACGAACACTTGGCCTCCCTCTCTCCTCTTGCCCTTGCCATTTCTCTGCTGCTTCTGGGGGGGTGGGGATCACTGGTACCTCAGTCCTGGCTGCCGTGTCTCCTTGTGTTACTGCTTATGTGGACAGGTAATAGTCTTCAGGAAGAAGCAGGCCAGAAGGTAGCTATCCTGACTGCTGCCCACTGTAGTGAGTTAACACTACAATGCGGCATAGTGTAACACTTTCTCGCCTCCCCCCCTTCATTCTATCTCTTGTTTTCTCCTTATCTATCTACTGATATACATCCTTCTCTCCTGCCAAACCTCCTTACCCACCACCCTCGGTCCCACATTTAGGCTTAAGAGGGATAACTCCCACTGATGTCCCACCCCATTTTGACAACCCAAATTTCTCTGCAAGGAGCAAGGCCAATTGGGGGAATGCTGTGGGCCAAGTTCAAAAACCTTTTCGGCCATATCTGGTCCCCAGTTAAGAGCTTCCCTATCCCTGCCTCATATGATCGATTTCCCAAGAGGTCCGGAGGGTGGCAAATGAGAATGGGTCTCCTCTGCAGTGGCTCTCCGTCTGTGGAATGCTCTCCCCAGGGAAGGTCACCTGGTGCCTTCATTATATAACTTTAGGCGCCAGGCAAAAATGTTCCTTTTTAACCAGGCCTTTGATTGACCTGATCAACATCCCATACCCTTTTAAAATGTGGCTCTTTTTTTGGGGGGGGGGTATTATTGGATTATTGTTTTAATTTTATATATTGTGATCTTTTTATGTGAACTGCCCTGAGACCTTCGGGTATAGGGCAGTATATAAATTCATTTATTATTAATAATAACAATACCTCAGTTTTCAAATGCGCCTCAAAAGTCGAACAGGAAACGCGGCTTCCGCTGAGTGCAAGACTTTGAAGCCTAGCTGTCAGCTATTGAGTTTAAGTTTTTGAACATTTCGGAAGTCAAACAGTCTTCCCGAATGGATTACGTTCAAAAACCGAGGTACCACTGTAGTTTTGTTATGGTTTTAATTCTTGTTTTGTGCTGCTGCCCTTTGGATCCTATGGGATGAAGTGGCGACATATAAATGCTGTAAAGGAATAAACACAATTTTGAAAGCTTATTTAAAAAGCTGCCCTTGTTTTAGTGTTTTATGTGGGTTTTCCCCTCCCTTGTTTTTTTCCTCTCTGGGCAGTTCCTTACCTTCCTGTTTTCCAAAGAGAACAGTATATGGAACTCGGAGCTTGACGTTGTACGTCCTGAAGACATGAACAATCCCCTCTCCCACTACTGGATTTCTTCCTCTCATAACACGTAAGAAGATAAAGGATGTTCCCTGTTTTGTTCTACTTTTGAGAACCTGATTTGCATGATGAGTTTGGCCTGGTTCTCCCCCCGCTTTCATACCTGTCTCTCATTTGTACCAGCAGGTCAGTAAGTTAGCCAACAGCAGTTAAGGGATCTCAGGATGACACAAAACCTGAAATGAATCCATCTACTCAAGTGATTTCCATATTTTTGCTAAAAGAAGTCATTAGAGTGGGACATTTTTGGATTGATACTGTGGCACTGGGGATGAGTGAGATGCCTAATACCCTTATCCTGTAATCCCAGTCCAGGTTGCCTCTGCAACTGGAAATTTCCAGTAGTTGCTCAGGTTAGAGTAGGCTATACCTTGTGCAGGTAATGGCAGCTTCATGTGTGTGATCTGGGTTGGGGCCACACCCTCCAGCACTATGGCTTCTGTACCAATTCCTCCCCTGCCCCTCAACAGCTACGTTACATGCATTTTGTAATCTTTGTCATCTCAGAGCTTCCTGAACCTGTGTTGGAGATGCCTGAGCTATTGGCACTTGCATTGCTTGTTTGTGGAAAACTGGATGGAGGAGGAACGAAGTGTGAAGCTGGCTCTGAAATCCTCTAGTTTGGATCCTTTGCATAGACCTCTGTAGCTTCACCAGCATTTTGCAAAGTCCGTTGAATTCTTTTTGCTAAAAGAATTTTAGGAATTCTTTGCCTTGGTGCTGTGGCACTGAAGCAGGTGAGGTGGAGTTATACTCACTCCTCTTCACTAATTTCATTTTGTGCATTGCTGGGAGAAGGAAAATGTCAGCACATCAACCAACCCTTCTTGCCTGGGAACACCATGAACCTAACGCCTATCCTGATGCAAACTGAGTTGTACAGTGTACAACCCCCCACCAAACCCTGCTCTTAAATTCTCTGTTGCATTTGAGTCACTGATGTGTATGTGGTGTTGTTTTTAACATCGCTGTGTTCATAGGACCTTCACTGTTGGTCATGTAAGCAGTTTTCCTGCCTTCTTCTCATGGATAGGTACCTGACGGGAGACCAGTTCTCAAGTGAGTCTTCGCTGGAAGCTTATGCTCGATGCCTGCGCATGGGATGCCGCTGTATTGAGCGTGAGTGCTGGCCTCTTCCCCATTGATGCCCCATTGAACACTGAGGTTTGCAGCTTCTGTCTCCCGTTGAGGAGAACTGGCAGCAGGTGATGTGAAAGACCCCTGCTTAGAGTCCTGGAGTGCTTCTGCCTGTCAGAGTAGCCAGCCCTGGGCTAGATGAACAAATAGTCTGACCTGCTATCAGAGCCATCTTTAGCATATGCGCCACTGAGGTGCAAAGATCTGCCCAGCACCCCCAAATTTAGTTTAGCTCCCAAATTAACTTTTATTATGCTTATGTCAGACAATTGCCGACAGTTAGCAAAAATAAACATTATTTTTTTAATGATTTCTCTAAACTGTAAGTGATGAGATTAAAATGTGCCGTTGTGAATGATGCTGGTGTGGCGCGTCTTTGGTAAATGAGCGCACAAAATCGAAAGTCCTTTAGTGAAACAGTAGGTATACATTTCGGTAATACCTAGGTATATTAGTATTTCGTTTTTCTAGCTGGATCAAAATTATTTTTTATTTCATAACAGGTAGCTAGTTAAGAGCTTAGGCGGCTTTAGCGGTGGGTGCCTGGCGCCCCCCAGAATTCAGCGCCCAGGTGCCCCGCACCCCTTGCACCCCTGGGTAAGGACGGCCCTGTCCGCTATAAGGCAGCTTCCTGTGTTCCACATGTCGCTACACAGGCCCAGCCCAAAGTTCTCTGCATCAGGAACTTTTCAAGGAAGCCAGGACACTTAATTACAAGAGTTTCCTGTAGCTTGTGCTCTGGTGCCAATAGCATCACCAGTGCGCTGTATGCTACGTATATTCACAAAACTGCTTTGACCTGCCTTCCCTTCCACACATCACTTCCACATCTGTTGACATCAAGAAGGAAAAGGAAATGATATTGTTCACTAGAATGTGTGTTCTGCCAGGTTGCTGGCTGCCAGAGTGCTCATGATGCATGCGTCTAGATTCCTTGCTCACTAGAGATTTCCTGCAGAGCTGTGCCTTGCCGCCTTATAATGATAATGCTCTTTGCTTGTATTTCTTGAGTTAGATGCCTTTTCTTAATTATTCCCCTTTTTAGTTGACTGCTGGGATGGCCCTGATGGAATGCCAGTGATTTATCATGGGCACACGTTAACTACCAAAATAAAGTTTTCCGATGTCCTAGCCACCATCAAGGAACATGCTTTTGTGACTTCTGAGTAAGTAAAGCGGGGATTGTGGCATTCTGTCCTCCAGGAATTTGCAGCTCATGTACTTGGATTCCAGGGCCTCCGACATGCAAACCCTAAATTGCTTGTGGCAGCTTGTCTGGGTGCAGTACTAGAATTTATATATGTGAACCGCTCTCACAGTATTTCTGTCTACAATGATGCATTGGCATTGTAGTCGGTAAAAACACCCCCACCCTAAATATTGTCTTCCTTCTGTAACAAATATTAAAACTAGGCTGTAAATAACTCATGATTCAGTGTGCATTTGGCTCATACTTTTATTTATTTCATAAAATGTATTTACCGCTTGATTGTATGAAACCTCAAAGTGGCTTACGAAAGAATAAATCAGGAGAATCAAGAAAAATCTACAACCCTACCTTAAAGTGTGCAGAAGTTTAAAATACTAAAACCGTTCAAAATTACCTCAACTTTCTAGGCATCTGGGAAGGCTTGTTTAAGCAAGAATGTTTTTAGCTGATGTTGAATAGGCAGGGAGTTCCAAAGTCCAGGTGTTGCTGCACTAAATGATCAAGTTCTTACAGATGTGCACCAGGTATTATGTGCACCTGTAGGAGTGCCAGTTCCCCCGATGGAAGCGTTTGAGTGGGCATATGGGGCAAGGTGATCTCATAGGTAAACTGGTCTCAAGTTGTTAAGGGATTTGTATACTAATAACAGCACCTTGAACTTTGTCCGGTGGGTTATCGCCAACCAGTGCAGGTCTCTGAGCACAGGTGTTGTATATCAACAAAGCATCACTCTGGGACGAAAACGTTTTGTTTTGTTTTTTTAATGGCACTATGAAAAAAACTGGATTTTGGCATACATGCTGATTAAAGCTGCATAATTAATTTCATTTTGCATAAATCATCATGCATTTTTTAAAATAAAGTTACATAATGTGTCCCTTTTTAAATCTTTGGTAGGCTGTAGGACCTATGCAAGGCAGTGAAACTTTGTCTCCAGCTACTGGAAGTTTTAATCTGCAATTCACTTGACATGAAATGTGGATCCAGACATTTCAGCGGGCTCTGCTAGTGCCCTTTCAAGGATATTTTTTTTAAAAAAACAACACCTTAAACTTTTAAAAACCTTAAGCTGAGATTTTCAAGAAGCTGAATACTCTGCCCGTTACATCCTGTGCTTTCTCTATGCTCCCACAGAGTCACTTGTATATGCACAGCCTTGATCATACTGAGAGATGGGTGCCTCCTGAATTACCATAGAATAATAGACTCTAGCAGCTAGACTATCCAGTCCACATTATTCTGGCCTAATGGCCATCACTTGCTGTTTTTGTTTGGCTTTCAGCTTCCCTGTTATCCTGTCCATCGAGGATCACTGCAGCATCGCCCAGCAGAGGAATATGGCTCAGAACTTTAAGAAGATCTTTGGAGACATGCTGCTAACCAAACCAGTAGATATCTCGGCTGATGGGCTTCCATCTCCAAACCAGCTGAAGAGGAAGATTCTCATAAAGGCAAGTCTTTTTCATGGCCTTTGCTGCTAAGATAACTACTAGAACTCAAAATGGGGAGTGGGGCACATGGTTTCTTGGCATTACAGCTTCAAACACACTACTTTACTGCAAGTTGCCTAAGGCTAGTTGGCTTGTAAAATCTAACAACAATTGATCTGCCTGGCCAGGGATGCTGTGGACTACAAGATGCATCTTGCAAAACAACAACAACAACAAACTGTTTTTGCAAAAAACAACAACCCTGTTTTTGTGACCCACTGAATTCCTATATATGTGCCAACCAATATAGCATCCTTGCTGTTTAAGTTATTGCAGTTTAACTGGATATGTAATGTATATCATTCTTTTTTTTCTGGTACTGGGGATTTATACAAATAATATAGAATCACAATTATTGCATTGTGAAGGCAAATAAATGGCCTAAGAAATGAGATGAAGATTAGATTTCTTTAGTGAGCTAGGGAACAAATCTAATATTTATCTTGTGTCTTAGGGTGTTTATGAGAGCTCAGGGGAAAGCTCTCATTAGCTACTGAATGTGCCCTATAGGTCCACAGTTGTAGATCCATAGAATTCTCTCCTTACTGTCAATGCTGGGAAGTTTGCTACTCTTAAGACTTCACCTTAGTAATATTCTCAAAGTTGAACTTCAGGCAGGATTTACCGTAAATTTCGCTCCATAACACGCAGATTTTTCCTCCTAGAAAGTAAGGGGAAATGTCTGTGCGTGTTATGGAGCGAATGCCTACAGATGGCGGGGGAATATCCTGCAGTCGTGAGCAGCCCGTGGCTCGCTTTGAAACAGCAAAGCGGGTGTAAGCGGCTCCTGTAAGCTAGCAGAGCCGGGGAGGAGGGAGAGAAGCAGAGCGGGAGTTGGCTGCTTTAAAACAACCCCTGCTCTCTGTCCCTGCCTGCAGTTTTTTGCTGTCCGATTTGGATTAGCCACTGTAGGGGCTGTGTGTGTGTGCTTGAGCTATCGTTCTCCTCCTCCTGCTTCCCCTTCACTCCCCTGCGACTTTAGAATCCACACTCTGTGTCTCTCTGTGTGTGTAAGGACTCCTTCTCCCCCTTGCTTCCCGTTCACTCTCCCTGCGACTTTAGAATCCACACTCTGTGTCTCTCTGTGTGTGTAAGGACTCCTTCTCCCCTTGCTTCCCGTTCACTCTCCCTGCGACTTTAGAATCCACACTCTGTGTCTCTCTGTGTGTGTAAGGACTCCTTTCTCCCCTTGCTTCCCGTTCACTCTCCCTGCGACTTTAGAATTGACACTCTGTGTCTCTCTCTGTGTGTAAGGACTCCTTCTCCCCTTGCTTCCCGTTCACTCTCCCTGCGACTTTAGAATCCACACTCTGTGTCTCTCTCTGTGTGTAAGGACTCCTTCTCCCCTTGCTTCCCGTTCACTCTCCCTGCGACTTTAGAATTGACACTCTGTGTCTCTCTGTGTGTGTAAGGGCTCCTTCTCCCCTTGCTTCCCGTTCACTCTCCCTGCGACTTTAGAATCCACACTCTGTGTCTCTGTGTGTGTAAGGCTCCTTCTCCCCTTGCTTCCCGTTCACTCTCCCTGCGACTTTAGAATCCACACTCTGTGTCTCTCTGTGTGTAAGGACTCCTTCTCCCTTGCTTCCCGTTCACTCTCCCTGCGACTTTAGAATGACACTCTGTGTCTCTCTCTGTGTGTAAGGGCTCCTTCTCCCCTTGCTTCCCGTTCACTCTCCCTGCGACTTTAGAATCCACACTCTGTGTCTCTCTCTGTGTGTAAGGGCTCCTTCTCCCCTTGCTTCCCGTTCACTCTCCCTGCGACTTTAGAATCCACACTCTGTGTGTCTGTGTGTGTGTAAGGGCTCCTCTCTCTTGCTTCCCTTCACTCTCCCTGCGACTTTAGAATCCACACTCTGTGTGTCTGTGTGTGTAAGGGCTCCTTCTCCCCTTGCTTCCCGTTCACTCTCCCTGCGACTTTAGAATCCACACTCTGTGTGTCTGTGTGTGTATGAGGGCTCCTTCTCCTCTTGCTTCCCGTTCACTCTCCCTGCGACTTTAGAATCCACACTCTGTGTGTCTCTGTGTGTGTAAGGGCTCCTTCTCCCCTTGCTTCCCGTTCACTCTCCCTGCGACTTTAGAATCCACACTCTGTGTGTCTGTGTGTATGAGGGCTCCTTCTCCTCTTGCTTCCCGTTCACTCTCCCTGCGACTTTAGAATCCACACTCTGTGTGTGTGTAAGGGCTCCTTCTCCCCTTGCTTCCTTCACTCTCCCTGCGACTTTAGAATCTCTGGTTGATGTGTGTAAGGGCTCCTTCTCCCCTTGCTTTCCCGTTCACTCTCCCTGCGACTTTAGAATCCACACTCTGTGTGTCTGTGTGTGTGTAAGGGCTCCTTCTCCCCTTGCTTCCCGTTCACTCTCCCTGCGCCCCTGGGCTCTCTCAGCGCCCCTGCGACTTTAGAATTGACACTCTGTGTGTGTGTGAGGGATCGTTCTCCTTCTCTTGCTTCCCATTCACTCCCCCAGTGCCCTGCGACTTTAAGGCCAGTTCTCTCTCTCTCTCTGTGTGTGTGTGTGTGTTTTGACCTCACTGCGCTTGTTGGGGGAGAGTGTTGGTCGCAATTTTTCTTGATTTGTCTCAGTGTGGTTACTATCGTGGTTTCCTTGCTGGGGAGGAAGGAGAGACGCAGAGCCTGCTTGTTCTAAAGGAGCAAAGCCGGAGAGGAGCCTCTCCTGCATTATTAGCAGCATCCTTCTCCACACACCCCACGCGTGCTGCTTGTCCCTTGAGTGCTTTTCCTTCCCTCCCCACTTAAAACGTGGTTACAAAGCACGGATCCACATGGATCCTCAGGATTTTTGCACTGGGTCACCCCAAATTCACCATCAGATCACATAGCATGTCCATGGCTACAGCCTGCACAAAAAACACACACGCACCCACTGTTTCATGGGGCCGCAGTGGTGCAAAAACGTGGTTACAAAGCATGGACCCACATGGATCCTCAGGAATTTTGCATTGGGCTACCCCAAACTCACCGTCAGATCACATGTCTGTGCCCACAGCATGAACCACAAAAATCATACATCCACTGTTTTGTTTAGAATATTTTTTTCTTGTTTTCCTCCTCTAAAAACTACGTGCGTGTTATGGTCAGGTGCGTGTTATAGAGCGAAAAATACGGTAGCTAGGAAATCTTCAGGGTCAGTGTGCAAACTCTGTTGTGCCCCATAATTAGTTGTGGGTGCCCTAGAGCAGTGTTTCCCAACCTTGTGCCTCCAGCTGTTTTTGAACTACAACTCCCATCATCCCTGACTAGCAAGACCAGTGGCAAGGGATGATGGGAATTGTAGTCCAAAAACAGCTGGAGGCACAAGGTTGGGAAACACTGCCCTAGAGATATCCAAAAGGCAGGTCTTGTTCTCTTGGGCTCATTTTTTAGAGAAGCTGAGGTGTATACCTCTCGTTGCAGCACAAGAAACTGGCTGAGGGCAGTGCTTATGAAGAAGTGCCATCTACAGCTGTGTATTCAGAGAATGACATTAGCAACTCAATAAAGAATGGAATCCTCTACCTCGAAGACCCCATCAATCATGTGAGCTTCTTATTACTGCTGGTTCTGACTCAACTGCTTCACTACTAAGTTGCCTAGACTTGGTTGGTCTGTATGATCAAAACAGCAATTAAGCTGTCTGAGAAAGGATGCTGTAACCCCTCTTTTGACCATAGATGTATTGTGATCCATTTAATGCACACAAAAACTTTCTCTTTTCACTTCTGCTGACACTGCCGGTTACACCTAGACTTTTCACTTGCTACAGCCAGTGATTGCTGGCATCCTAGACCTGACCATAATGACACCTTAGAATGATTAAAACGAATGCATGGTAATGGAACAATGAACAAAATGTAAATACATTTGGGTACTGCCACATGCTATGTCTCCACCCTGTAACGAATAAACATGCCAACTGGGGCAGGGCTGCCAGGGGCCTAGTGGGCGGGCAGCATGTGGCTAAAAGTGGTGTCTTGGGTCTGGCCAACATGAACATTTATTTAAATGATCACATGGGCCTTTGCAGGGCAGTGACTGTAAGTAAAATATGTTGTAATACAAAGCAAAGCCAAATCCCTCTGTATAATATATTCATAGGACTCCATTTTACAAATGGAAGCATTTGACACTTAAAAAAAAGAAGAGTTTAGGCAGGTGCTGCTTATCTTTCTTCTTCTTCTTCTTTTTACTTTTTATGGCACTGACAAAGCAGACAGATCCTTGTCCAAAGGCTGTCTCAACATGTCGGTTGATGTTAGTCTCAGGATAAGCCCCCCTTCACTTCTGGTCTTCCCGCAATCCTTTCCTAAACCCGATAGACTTGATGTCTTGAGGGTAACATTCTAGGATGAACATCTTTTCTACATGTGTGTTTGCAGGATTGGAACCCCCATTACTTTGTCCTGACCAGTAGCAAAATCTATTACTCTGGAGAGAGAAGCAGTGATTTGGGAAATGAGGATGAGGAGGAGCAAAAGGAGGTACGTGAAACAACTTGCCACAGTTTTTCTTCTGAGCTGCTGAAGATCTTCAGGCTTCTCAGCCATTCAGGTCTGGAAGGAATGACTCTTCCTACATTAGAAGGTGCTTGTATGGGTGTGACATATGGAGCAGTGGCAGCTGGAGATGGGCACCACTGTGCACTTAGCATCCCACCAGCCATATTACTGTTCTTACCTGGAGAGTTGAGGTGGTGGAAAGGTCAGTGTGGTGCAGGTATAGGAGCATGCATTGAACTGATCTACCTGCTGCCTCATCACCCTACTTTCCAGTAGCCAGCTGTCTCAGCGGTATATACTACCACTGTACCTTGAGCAGCATAGATAAATATTCATTAAATACAGTCATGATTTAAAAAAAACAAACCTATGAACATTATGGGCATTTGCAGTATTTTTTGTATTGTGATAAAGGACGCAAGATGCCCTATTGGTGTGAAACTTAAAGAACAAACCAAATAAGACAGAAAGTGGGTTTCCCTTATTATACCATCTTCATTCAAATACCCTCGATCCAGTGATTGATGATAGTGTGCTATGGTGATTCACTTTTGGAAGGGCTAAAAGCAAGCCAGACCAATCATGTCTTCTTTCCCCTCTGTTAATTAGTAGTGGCCCACTTTAACACTGAACTCCTCATCATATTAGAAAAGCCCATCTTAATGCAGTGAAAAAAATGGTGAACAGGAAGGCCACTATAAAAAAGAAGGAAAAACAGCAAAATTAAATCCCAAAATAAACATGCATTGACTTCCCACCAAAAATAAATATAAACAAAGGGCCCCATTGAACATCCCCTGTGAAGCTGTGATTATACGGTACCCTGCAGCTGTCTGCACATTGACATGAGTGCACTGTTTTCGCAAATATTGGTTATAGCCTGTTGTTAGATATAGAGGTTGCATGCCCCAACCCCTTGGTCTCTCTCGAGTTTGCTTGTCCATTTGTGCTGTATGCCATTTATGCTATAATAGCACATTGAGGAGTATTTATGAAGCTCCTGAGAACACTGGTCTCCTCCTGCGCTGAATCTAGATTCCTGAAATCTGGAAGGAGATTTACTTGGAAGAGGAAGTTGAATTCCAAGACAATGTAGTATGGCTCTGCCTTCATGCAGAGCTGGTCCTGTCCACAGGAAACTAAGCTGGTAAGCCACCTTTTGTTTCCATACTAGGTGAGCAACAGCACTGAACTCCACTCGACCGAAAAGTGGTTTCATGGCAAGCTGGGAGCTGGGCGTGATGGGCGACACATAGCAGAAAGGCTGTTGACCGAGTACTGCATAGAGACGGGAGCCCCTGACGGTTCTTTCTTGGTGCGAGAGAGTGAGACCTTTGTTGGCGATTACACCCTTTCTTTTTGGTAAGAAAATCTTGGGCATGGTATCCATCCTTCAGGTATCTCTGTAACTAGATGTGTAACTGAAAGACATAGGTTAATGGATATGAGCATTGCACAATCTCTCTCTCCCTCCCTCTAGCCAGAAGATTCATGGAATTTGCCTGTTAGGCAAATACTTGGATGATACATAATTCATTCAATTTATGTAGGAATTGGGAAAAGATGGCTAATGGCAGATTGAGAAGCAGTGTGTGTGTGTGTGTGTGTGTGTGTGTGTGTGTACTACTATTTAGCTTACCTTTGCTGTTGAATTCTATGCAGTGTTTACATTATTTGACCTCGCATCTGTGAGAACAATGGTAACTTGCCCAAGGCCACACATTGAGATGCGTTGCTGTGAGAAGGGATGTGAACCTGTCTTTCACATCCAAAGCCAGCATTCCGAGTCCATTGCATTTTTGAAATTAGTCACTAGATTGAACAGGAAGCTTTGCTGTGCAAAGGAACCCTGCTGTTTGATTACTGGAATAGTTGCATACCGCATCTTGGATTTCCAAGGCTTTAGCAGTAGTTGTGAAGGTGTTTTGAGGTTTTAATGTTGAGGGGTAGAAACTTGTTCCTGTTAATACACACACATTAATGCCAACATTTTAGCAGCACAATTCTAATCATATATATTCAATGGGGCTTACTCCAAGATAAGTGGCATTAGGACTGAAGTTTAGGTCAGGCTTTTTGAAGTCCACACACTACTGGATACCTGGTCTTAGCTTTTCGTGTAATTTGAAATTTGCCCAAGCAGCCTTTGCTTCATCCTCTTCGTCAACTGAGTGCTGCTGTTTCTCCCCTTTCTTGCATACTGCCTGTTGTTTTAAGGCACAACCATGCAAAGAGCTGGTTGGATACTCTCAAGGTCTACCAACCTATCCCAATCTATTCCACCCTACTGAATAAGCAACTTTCACTCTTCGCATGACACTCATGTTTTCAGGCAGTGTGACGGCTATTGTTAGGGGGGAAATGTAACTAAAATAATATTTCTTTATTTTAAAAAGCAATTTTAGGCTGTCATTGTAAGTGCATTTACTAAGGACTAAGCCACACTGAGTATACTGGGGCTTATTTTGTGTAAACACACATGGGATTTCACTGCTGACCTTTGTTTTTCTTGCATGCAGGCGCAACGGGAAAGTGCAACACTGCCGGATCCATTCCCGGCAGGATGCTGGCAGCCCCAAATTCTTCCTCACCGATAACCTGGTGTTCAACAGTCTTTATGACCTCATCACTCATTATCAGCAGGTGCCACTCAGATGCAATGAATTTGAGATGAGGCTGACTGAACCTGTGCCACAGACCAACGCTCATGAGAGCAAGGAGTAAGCCAACGCGTTTTTGGCCTTTTGCTTATGTCAGAATTCCAATAAAGTTGTTGCCTTAGGGCTGAGATCACTCAAGAATATTGTAGCCTGAATTTAGCACCTTGAGTGATGATTTTGGATATAGGTAAAGGTAAAGGGGACCCCTGACCATTAGGTCCAGTCGTGACCGACTCTGGGGTTGCGGCGCTCATCTCGCTTTATTGGCCGAGGGAGCCAGTGTACAGTTTCCGGGTCATGTGGCCAGCATGACTAAGCCGCTTCTGGCGAACCAGAGCAGTGCACGGAAATGCTGTTTACCTTCCTGCCGGAGTGGTACCTATTTATCTACTTGCACTTTGATGTGCTTTCGAACTGCTAGGTTGGCAGAAGCAGGGACCGAGCAACGGGAGCTCACCCCGTTGTGGGGATTCAAACCGCCGAACTTCTGATCAGCAAGTCCTAGGCTCTGTGGTTTAACCCACAGAGTTTTGGATATAGCTCACACTTAATTGGAGTGGTTTTATTTTTTTAGTTCTATTGCCCTACTGCAGGGTTGGGGACCTGTGGCCCTATGGATGTCCCTTGACATCATTTCCCGTCATCTCTGACCATTGGTGTGATGGCTGGGGCTGATGGGAGTTATAGCCCCGAAATATCTGAAAAGCCACTGCTTCCCCATCCTTGCCCTACTAGCCTACTTTGCTTCAGAAGAGGAACTACAATGTCATAGTTTTATGCTATTTAACCTGCTATCTCTGTCTTCTTTTTAGCTGTTATTCCTTATTATGTGCTTGTCTTCTATTGAATTTTCATCCTCTTATGTGGGCCCTTGGAAAATTTCATTGGAAAGGCAGGACAGACACACAAATCTGGTGCTTTCAAGCCATTCTCCACAACTTGGTTAACATAAAAGACAAATTCCGCAGAAGTCTCCAAAGAGTCTAATCTGAATGGTATTCTAGAATGCTCAAACCGCTCTTTTACATTTAACTCATCTGCACTGTTTATGTAAAGCTGCAAAGCTTTCTCCCCTGCTGACACACATTTAATTTTAATAAAAAACTACCTCTGAACTATTATGGATCCCCAGTTTAGAGATGCAGGGAAATGAAATGGAGCTGTACAGAGCTCAGGAAGGAAGCCAAAGGACCACATTTTCCTTTCCTCCCAGTTTGCTTTAAGAGCTGGGAGAATTAACATTCTTCAGATTTGTGCCTGCAATATCCCCTGTGCCACAAAATCCCTAAGCATAAAACCTGCCTACATCCGTTTGGAGGTTAACCATGGTTATCCTAACTGGTGTGTGCAGATCAGCTTGGAGTCTTAGTTAGCATTCACCATGGTTGGGATGTGTGCAGAGGTCACCTTTAAGCATGGCTTTGCCACAGGGAAGGATTGGATTTGTATGTAAGAGAAGGACCCACAGACCATATGTGGTCTGTTTCTGACCTCTTAACAGTGGAAACATTGCTTCTGCACTGGCCCCTAGTGAAAACGAAGACTTGGCTTGTGATGCTGCATTAGCTGGTTTCCTGCATCTGCAACGAAACCACAATGGCTCTAAATCTCCAAAGGAAACAATACAGCCAACTGGTATTCTTCTGTGAAACAGAGTTAATCCTGGGGTCCAGACATTTATCAGGTACTGCTGTGCTACATTCACTTACATTGCAATATTTTCACCCCACCCCCCAGATGGTATCACGCTAATCTCACCCGGCCTCTGGCAGAGCGCATGCTGATGCGGGTGCCGCGGGATGGGGCCTTTCTGGTGCGCAAGAGGAGCGAGCCAAACTCCTACGCAATCTCCTTTCGGTGAGTAGTTTGTCTCCCAGGTAACATGGACTTCCTTAAATAATAAATTATTATTATTATTATTAATACCCCGCCCATCTGGCTGGGCTTCCCCAGCCACTCTGGGCGGCTTCCAACAAAATATTAAAATACAGTAGTCCATCAAACACTAAAAGCTTCCCTAAAGAGGGCTGCCTTCAGATGTCTTCTAAAAGTCTGATAGTTGTTCTCTTTGACATCTGGTGGGAGGGTGTTCCACAGGGTGGGTGCCACTACCAAGAAGGCCCTCGGCGCTGGATCTCTGTCTGGGCAGAACAATGGGGGTGGAGACGCTCCTTCAGGTATACAGGACTGAGGCCATTTAGGGCTTTAAAGGTCAGCACCAACACTTTGAATTGTGCTTGGAAACGTACTGGTAGCCAATGTATGTCTTTCAAGACCGGTGTTATATGGTCTTGGCAGCTGCTCCCAGTCACCAGTCTAACTGCTGCATTCTGGTTTAGTTGTAGTTTCTGGGTCACCTTCAAAGGAAGCCTTATATATGTGTCGTCGTGGCTGTGAAATGTAGGGAAGGAAAGTAACACCCCCCCCATCATTATGCAACAAACACCCTCTTCAGCCATTGTTAAGTGGTTGTTTGGGAAATGACTGATCACTTGTTCTGCTGCTGTTTTGTTCCCCAGGGCAGAAGGGAAGATAAAGCACTGCCGAGTCCAGCAGGATGGCCAGACCGTCATTTTGGGTAACTCAGAATTCGAGAGCCTGGTGGATTTAATCAGCTACTACGAGAAGCACCCGCTGTATCGCAAGATGAAGCTGAGGTATCCGATTAATGAGGAAATGTTGGAGAAGATCGGGACGGCGGTGAGTATGGTGTTAGGAATGGAATCCAGTGCGTTCTTCCTGGGACTGTGGTCGCAACTGCTCTTGTTTTTCTAGAATATGGCATTTGTCAACCAGCCTATTGGTATCCACAATATCCTCTCTTCAGTGAGATGTCCACTTCTTGAGCAAGGATGGAGAACCTCTGTTCCATGGGTCAGACTTGGCCCTCTAGTGGTCAGAATGTGACCTGTGAGGCCATTTCCCCCAAACCGCACCCACTAACACCACACTGAACGTCATATGAGATGTCAGGTACAGGACAAGTATTGGCATGGCTTCAAAGGAACAACTGAGAGCTTAAGGCATGCTCTTGCCATCCAGCTGTTGGAAGGAGGAAGTAGTTTTCCTTTTGCAAACAGCCCTGCACTGCTCCTTGGACCTTTGGCTTTTGGGTGTTTAAAGAGCAGTGTGAGGCTGCTTGCAAAAGGGCTTTCTAACAGCCCTGAACTTTTCTTTGAAATTCTGAAAACTGGAGTTTCAAAGTGCAGTGCTAGGCTGTTAAAAAGCCTTTTATAAACAACCCCACACTGATCTTAAATCTCTAGTTTTTGGAGGTTCAAGGAACAGCACATGGCTGTTTGAAAGCCCTTTTGCAAACAGCTCTGTGCTGCACTTTGAAATCCCAACAACTGGGACTTCAAAGTGCAGCTTTGCCTGATGTCACAGTAACATCTGGTGATTGACAGATAAACAGCCCCACCTGCCTGCCAAATTTGTCCCACCAAAGGTTGGGGAGATAAGAATCTAGCAAGTTGGCTAGAAAAAGTTGCTCACCCTACTCTATAGCGTGGGGGGAGACTCAGCCTGTTTCCAAGCTGTCGAACCGCCTTATAAGTGTGTGGCTTTAGCCACCTCTTCTAACTCCTGTTATCCTTGCCTGAACAAGCATACAGATAGACTCATCCTCTTTCCTTTGCTCACCAGGAACCAGATTACGGTTCACTCTACGAAGGTCAGAATCCAGGATTTTATGTGGAGGCCAATCCTATGCCAACCTTCAAGGTATTTTCCTTGTATCTCGAGATGTGACTGGGATGAGATCAGCTGATAAATTGCTTGTGTGGCCAATATGTTTTCACTACCAGGGCAAATAGCATCTTATGAGGAGGTGGCTTCCATTGGGGAAATCGTGCAGAGGGGAAGGGTTAATACTGCCCTCCAGCACCACGGTGGCCCCTGTGGATCAGTCCTTGCCTTGGCTGCATTTGCATATCTCCATCATAAATCATAATCTTTAGTCTGGAGAATGCTCTTAACAAACCATTAGCACATTGGGGCCTTGATGCCTACCCTCCCTGCAAACATTAGTACACTAAATTTTAAACCCCAGGCACTAGCGTATTCATGAAGTTATTTGCATATAGAAACTTCTGAGTTTCACACAAACTTGGAAAGAGAACTGAACCCTGGTAATGGGAGTCTGAAAGGTAGGCAAATTCCTGGCCAATCATTAGTTTGTCCTATTGATTGCACTGTATATTTTCCCCCACGGTGGTCTTGCATGTCACAAAGACTTAGAGGCAGGTATTGATACCTGATTGTAAGTGGATTTCTGCAGAATTCCTTGGTAATAATAATAATTTATTTATTTATACCCCACCCTCCCCAGCCAAGACCGGGCTCAGGGCGGCTAACAACCAATAATAAAAACAAGTTGATTAAAATACAGTTTAAAAGATTAAGGTACAACATTAAAACATTAGGGTGCAATCTCTTCATAGGAGGAGAAAGGAAAAAGAAAGAGGGGGAGACAATCAAACTGATTCTGAGCCAAAGGCCAGGTGGAACAACTCTGTCTTACAGGCCCTGCGGAAAGAAATCAGATCCCGCAGGGCCCTGGTCTCATGAGACAGAGCGTTCCACCAGGCTGGAATGAGTGTTATGTGACTTCATCTCGGCTTCTGCTGGGATCACCTGGCCTCATTATTTTGTATGTGTTTCAGTGTGCTGTCAAAGCCTTGTTTGACTATAAGGCTCAACGAGAGGATGAGCTCACCTTCACCAAAAATGCCATCATCCAGAATGTGGAAAAGCAAGAAGGAGGCTGGTGAGTTTCCTTTAATCGCCAGATGATCGGTCCTTTTAAAAAGATATCCCAGAGATCACATCTCCAAGCAGCAACAGGGCGTTTGCTGACTTTCCCATTCCTGGTAATGCCTTTTGAAAAGAACTTCCCCCTTTTATATGTTTTAAACAAGCAAAATGCGAAGATGAACACCCGCCTCGTTTTTAGAGCCAAACCCTTTGGTTCCCAGACTCTGGGAGGAACCTAGGTTGCTCCTGAAGAACTGAAAAGCAGCTAGAGTTGGTAGAGGTGATTTGAAAGGGAGACTTAACACTTCCCCCATCCACCACTTTCCTCTTACAACTCCTTCCGACAACTTCTCCACCCCTCTCCTCTCCATCCTGTATTGTAAACTCGCCATGCTGCTTTGCAGCTGTTTGGGAATGACTAGGACAGGCATCCCCAGACTCTGCCCTCCAGCTGTTTTGGGACTACAGTTCCCATCATCTGACCATTGGTCCTGTTAGCTAGGGATGATGGGAGTTGTAGTTCCAAAACAGCTGGAGGGCCGAGTTTGGGGATGCCTGGACTAGGGTTTCCAGATACAAGGTCTGCTACTGAACTTCAGCTTCAGCCCTTAGTCAAGATCACTTTACACTTTGGCACAGGGAAGTGTTTCTGCTAGTGGTATGATAGGGCATGAATTTGGTAACTTATTTCCATTCCTTGGAATCAAGGCAAAATTAACAAGAGAGTATCCTCGTTTGCCCTCCTGCACACTCCACTACTGGCAGGTCTATAACTTAGTGCACAGCTAGCTAGCTCTGTTGGTCTGCTTAATGCCACACATTTACGTTCTAATTGATGCATTTTGATCACCTTGGTACAAAATAACACTAGTTTTGTGTAGAACGTGTATGGCTTTGCACATGCATCTTTTCATTTCTTCCAGGTGGAGAGGAGACTGTGGCGGTAAGAAGCAGCTGTGGTTTCCATCTAACTACGTAGAAGAAATAGCTAGTCCAACAGGCTTGGAGCCTGAGAGGGAGGTGAGCATTCAGTTTGGAGAAAGATGGAAAGAGAGCTGCAGAGTCTTTTCAGCTTCAGATTCCGGGGAAAGCTCAGCTTGAGTTTTGGTCTCGAAATAAGGCCTTCTAAATACCCAAAGGGCCACCTTCTTCCATGTGAGCTTGCCTGCTCAATAAGATCTTCCAGATGGGCTGTCCTATGCATCGCACAAACACCTAGTTTACATTCAGCTGGGATGTGGGAGAAGACCTTTGCTGTTGTTGTGGCAAGTTCTCTGGGTCTTTCTGCCCAGCGAGACTTAGAATCACAGCATTGGAAGGGATCCCCAAGGTCATCTAGTCCAATCTCCTGCAATGCAGGAATCTCAGTTAAAGATGGCCATCCAACCTCTGCTTACAAAACTCCATGAAGGGAGAGTCCATTGCCGACAGCCTTCTGTGGCTGCCTGAATACATTTACATTGGTATATTACATATACATTGGTTATTAGTTTCAATTTGGCCTTCTGCAATCTGGTTGTTCTTCATGTGTTTTAGACTACAACTCCCATAAGTCCCAGCCAGTGTGATCAATAATCAGGTTATGTTGAGAGTTGTAGTCCAAAATTTAATTCATTCATTTTAAAGTGCTTTATTTCAGGGTTTTTTTGTTTGTTTTACAAACAATCGGTATATAAATGTTGCGAAATAAAATAAGTGTTATCTGCCACAATGATGAAAACAATAACTAATAATACATGGTTGCAAGCTTCTGCAGTTCAGAGATGTGTGTGGATAAGAGAAAGATTGTGTTAGTTATCCTTCCTGGCCTGGTTCTGTTCACAGTTAACACCTCTGTGCCAGGACTGTGTGATGAAATCACACAGGCAGGTATCTCAGAAGAAAGCTCCGCTGTAATAAAATTCTTTCCCTTCAAATGTGGCAAATCTAAATATTATCCAGAATTAATTTTACTACTCTTTAGCATTTATTTAGTGTCAGATGGTCCTTTCCCAGAGGACTGAGTAGCTCTAATTTGCTATCCACAAATCATATTGGACGGTGGAGGCTGCCAAGCAGGGAGTAGTCAGCTGCCAATGGAGGAGGAGGCCAAGGGAAGGATAGGCATTTTAAATATTTTTAGAATACTTTGCTATTTTAAAACAGAATGCATTTATGTGGGTGAGTGCTATTGCCTCCCCTGAGGTTCTCACGATAGGGCAGACTCTAAAATGTGAAGAAATGTAGTAATATGCTATGAACTTGCTTCCAGCAACAGATAGATGAGAACAGTCCATTGGGAGACCTACTTGGAGGAGTTCTGGACGTACCAGCCTGTCAGATTGGTAAGTGGATAATAATAATAATAATAATAATAATAATAATAATAATAATAATAAATTTATTATTTATACCCCGCCCACTCTGGGCGGCTTCCAAAAGAATATTAAAATACTATAATACATCAAACATTAAAAGCTTCCCGAAACAGGGCTGCCTTCAGATGTCTTCTAAAAGCCTGGTAGTTGTTGTTCTCTTTGACATCTGGTGGGAGGGTGTTCCACAGGGAAGGCGCCACTACCGAGAAGGCCCTCTGCCTGGTTCCCTGTAACTTGGCTTCTCGCAGTGAGGGAACCGCCAGAAGGCCCTCGGTGCTGGACCTCAGTGTTCGGGTAAAACGATGGGGGAGGAGACGCTCCTTCAGATATACTGGACCAAGGCCGTTTAGGGCTTTAAAGGTCAGCACCAACACTTAGAATTGTGCTCGGAAACGTACTGGGAGCCAATGTAGGATGCTTTGTGTGGTGGGCGGGAGAGGCAAGAAGTGATAACCAATGCTGATTTTCGGCTGCAACTATTTCCTTAGAACCCACCTTTCCTTGCTAATCTGCAAGTTTTCAGTTCCTGGCTTTGCTCCAGGATAAAGGCCTTGTGTGGCTAAGTGCTCAGCCATGCAGGACCAGTTCTCTGGGTTGCTATTTAGCAAGGGCTGTGCATGCGAGAATGTTTTGCCTCATTTCAGGCCCCCTTCAAATGCATGGGTCTTGCCTGCCTGTGGGAAGATGGTTATGCAAAAATGGAATTCTGGTGTTCGTGGGTCTGACTATTGGGCAAGATTTGTGAACCAGTGATTTACACATAAGATTCTTACAGGAATATAGAAGAGTGGATAGACTGCTCATCTACAGTGCCTGGTTCTGAAGATCAAACCTGGAACAGGATTGTCTGGTGCAAAGTGACACACCTCATTGTCCATTCTGCTGAACCCCAATTCTCAAACATACTGATTGTTGATTTGGTGTTTAAACCTGCATTTTTTGCTGACTTGGGCTTGCTGGGGAAAGGCAAGATATAAGAAATAAGAATTGGGTAGTGTTTTTGCAGAAAAGCTTTGCCTGAGACTTTGGGATGACACTGCCTGTCAGAGTGGACAGTGCTGGGCTAGACCAGTAGTCTGGTCTGGTAAGATGCTCAAGAAGAGGAAATAGAGAGAGGGGTGTGTGTGTGTGTGTGTGTGTGTGTGTGTGAGAGAGAGAGAGAGAGAGAGAGAGAGAGAGAGAGAGAGAGAGATTTTAAATATGGGCCTGGGGGATAAATGTAGGCCCTTGGTCTGGGAAAGTTGATATCCACTGAAGCTACCTCTTAAAAAATACCATTGCTGCTTCCTTTCTTTCAAAGAGACTTTATTGCATTGCATTTAATTACTGCCTTTCTGACAAGGCACCCAAAGTAGTTTACAGTTTTAAAATACCCAAACAAATGATGATACGCCATGTAAAATTGACCCAGGGGACAAGCCAACTTGAGAAGCCTAGCCTGCCTTCTTCCTTCTCACAGGGCAGATGATGTCTAGTGGGGCAACAGTCTGTCTGCAGCTGGCCTTGTGGGGTGCAGAAACAGTCCAACCAGGATGTTGTCTCTGCCTCCATTCTTCAATCTCTTCTTCTTTCTCATTTTATCAGTTATCAAGACCACCTACATACTATGGAGGAATTTTTAACTCTAACTCTCGTATAGACCATGTCTGTGAGGGTCTTGAGGCAGGCTGTGGTCTAATCCTTGTTTTTCTGCTCATTCCTGATCCACAGCCATCCGCCCAGAGGGAAAGAACAACCGCATGTTTGTCTTCTCTATCAGCATGGCTTCCATCACACGATGGTCACTGGATGTAGCAGCTGACACACACGAAGACCTGTTGGACTGGGTGAAGAAGATCCGTGAAGCCGCCCAAACCGCTGATGCCAGGGTAAGATACACGGCCTCTTAAACTTTTGTAAGCCATAGATGCAAAAGTTGAGGAACTTGTTATGAAGGCTCTTGTGGTCACTGCATGAAATGTGAAAATAAAATTAAATATCTGGGTTCCTGGGTTATATAGGAATGCCCGAAGAGTAACAGACCAGAATGGAGATGCTCCACTCATTATGTTTCGTAGCCCTGCAAGTGGTTGGTTCCCTGCTGTCTCTGCCATTTAAGTGATTGAGTGCAGTGGGGAGAGGTTTGCTGTCTGTCTTGAAGATGTGCCTTTGTAGAAAAGCACACACTTTTCACAATATTCCACACAATTTTCAAACCGCAGTGAAATCCACTTGTCCTTCTGTTCCTGTTTTCTGCTCATTGAATGTTGATTCTGTTAGCTTGTACCTGAGCCAGTGCTTCCTCCCATACAATTAATGAACCCTGTTTTTTCATTGTTTGTCAGCTTTCGGAAGGCAAGATGATGGAGAGGAGGAAGAAGATAGCACTGGAGCTTTCTGAGCTGGTCATCTACTGTCGTCCTGTCCCCTTTGATGAAGAAAGTATGTGCAGATTCCATTAGGCAAATATTGCAATGACCCATTGCGTGGCTAGAGCTGATTACTGGCATTAGTTCAGCCTTGTGATGTTTTAGTTGAAGCTTCTAAATCATTGCACCAATCTGGCAGGGTAGGTTGGTAAAGCTCTCACTTGCAGGTATTTGAAAGGTGTTTGCCAACCATGACAAAAACACACCAGTAGTTGCAATATAGTATTTCTTTTCTATATTGGTTCAAAACCTAATTTGCAATCATTGCAAATTCATTATCCTTGGATATACCGTATTTTTCACTCTATAAGACGCTCTTTTTCCCTCCTAAAAAGTAAGGGGAAATTTGTGTGTGTCTTATGGAGCGAATGCAGTCTATCGCTGATAGACTGCGCACCGATCCTTCTCGCTCCCCCTGCCCTGAAGAGGCTTGGCACAGCTATCCCAGAAGCCAGAACAGCAAGAGGGATCACTGCTTTTGCTGCACAGCGATCCCTCTTGCTGTTCTGACTTCGCTTCGCTGGAGAAATATGCATATTTGTGGAACTGAAAAGTTCTTTCTCTCCCCATTGCTCTTTCTTCTCCTGTTAAATATTGTGGTGGGATCATTCTGACCTAGGCTGTCCCATATCATTGTCTGCCCTGTTTCTTGTACAGAGATTGGCACAGACAGGGCTTGCTACAGAGACATGTCCTCCTTCCCTGAAACCAAGGCAGAGAAGTATGTCAACAAGATCAAAGGCAAGAAGTTTCTGCAATATAACCGGCTACAGCTTTCCCGCATCTATCCAAAGGGACAGCGCCTTGACTCCTCCAACTATGATCCTCTCCCTATGTGGATCTGTGGCAGCCAGTTGGTGGCACTCAACTTCCAGACACCAGGTGAGAGACCCTTTTCACTGGGCTGTTGCAGTGGTATGATGGTTCCTCTCTGTGGTGACCATAGCTTAGGGCAAGAGTATACAACATGGTACCAGCCATATGTTGTTGGACTGCAAGGCCCATCATTGGCCATGCTGGCTGGGAGTTATGGTCCACAACAGCTGGACGGCACAAGGTTGGCTAGCTCAACATAGGGCATGTCTACTTTGCAGGAAAAAGGTATTGCTTCTGCATGGTCTGGTGTCCAGCTGCTTGCATTGTTATACTACAATGAGCAAAAGCTTTTTGTGCTTGCTTATGATTGGGTGTTGGGCCAGTGGCGTAGCGTGGGGGGTGCAGGGGGGGCCGGCCGCACCGGGCGCAATATCTGGTGTTAGGGCAAATCCACGGGTTAGGGGGCGCAAATCCACAGGTTAGGGGGCGCAAATCCACAGGTTAGGGGGCGCAAATTACTTGCCTTGCCCCGGGTGCTGACAACCCACGCTACGCCGCTGTGTTGGGCCATATTTTCTTCTTCATTTGAATGTTTACCTATAAAGCCTTAAATGGCTCAGGACCAAAATACCTCAAGGACCGCCTCTCTCCATATGAACCTACCCAGACCCTGAGATCAGCATCATGAGGCCCTTCTTCACAAGAGGTCCGGAGGGTGGCAACATGAGAACGGGCCTTCTCTGCAGTGGCTCCCTGTTTCTGGAATTCTCTCCTCAATGAGGCTCGCCTGGTGCCTTCATTGCATATCTTAAGGCACCAGTCAAAAACATTTTAACCAAGCGCTTGGCTGATACTCTGTGGCCTTTGAAATGTGTCTGGGAGAGGGGGGTTGTTGGTTTGTTTTTCTTCTATTCCTGTTTTATTATATATTTTGTCTTTTCATGTTGTATTTTTATGTTGTGAATTGCCCTGTGGTCTTTGGATGAAGGGAGGTGCACAAATCAAAAAATAAATAATGATAACATTTTTTAAAAAATTGGGTTATGTCAGAGTAGCTAGGATGCTGTCTCAGAACAAATTTATATAACCTTAAAACCGGGGGTAGCCAACATGGCAACCTCCAGATGTTGTTGGACTACAACTTCCATCATGCTGACCCTGATGGGAATTGTAGTCCAGTGAAGCCTGGATGAAACTGTTTTGAGAGCCAGTGTGGTGTAGTGGTTAAGAGCGGTGGACTCATAATCAGGTGAACCAGGTTTGCTTCTCCGCTCCTCCACATGCAGCTGCTGGGTAACCTTAGGCTAGTCACACTTCTCTGAAGTCTCTCAGCATCACTCACCTCACAGAGTGTTTTTTTGTGGGGGAGGAAGGGAAAAGGAGATTGTTAGCTGCTTTGAGACTCCTTCGGGTAGTGATAAAACAGGATATCAAATCCAAACTCCTACTCCTACTCCTCCTCTTCTTCTGCTCTTCTTCTTCTTCTTCTTCTTCTTCTTCTTCTTCTTCTTCTTCTTCTTCTTCTGGCTACCCTTGCTGCAAAATGTGGGAATGGGCACACATGTGTTGAAGTCTGAAAGTAACCACGGTATTGCCTCATCCTATTCAGGTGTCAGTTGTAGCGAGCCTTTCAGTGGCAGCAGATACTTTACTGTGCCCTTCTGGCAGCATTATCAGTATGGTTAATTATCTTTGCCTTCTAAAAGAAACTGCACCTGAGGTGTTCAGCATTTTGTGAGCTGGCCAGTTAGCACTGACTTTCCTTAGGGGCCTCATTCGAACACGGGTGTTATGCCCTGAATTGTCCTTAATTGTACTCCATAGTACTGGAGCTGTTCCTCATCAAAGCCCCCTGTGCTTTTGCAGATAAGCCAATGCAGATGAATCAGGCCCTGTTTATGTCTGGAGGCCGATGTGGCTTCATGCTCCAACCAGGCAACATGCGGGATGACATCTTTGATCCCTTTGACAAGAGCACTCTACGGGGGGTGGAGCCGCTTTCCATTTCCATCGAGGTTGGTGTGTTATGCTCTTCTCTGCATGCCTGCTCTAACAAAGCCTTATTTTGCCTTTGGTTTGGGTGGACATGTCCCTTCTCCTACAGCCCCAGGCTTCAGAACACTGCTACATTACCTCATGAAGAGACATTGTGTGCGTTTGTGTGTGTGTAATGCATTTATTTCTCGACCTACTTGATCCTTTGGCCCTTCCCACCACCAGCATGGAGCCCTGAGAAAGTTGCCCACAAGGGAATGCAACTCTTGGGTGGAAATATTTCCTCCACTTACCATTTTTCATACCATGCACTGAAGTGCTTCCGCCACTAGAGGTCCAGAGGGTGGCAACATGAGAACGGGCCTTTTCTGCAGTGGCTCCCCACTTGCAGAATGCTCTCCCCAGGGATGTTCATATGGTTCCTTCATTATACACCTTTAAGTGCCATGCAAAAACATTCCTCTTCAACCAGGCCTTTGGCTGATTAATATTCTATGGCCCTTTCAAGGTGTTTGTTTTGGTGGGGGCGGGGGTAATTGTTTTGATTTGTTTTTGTTTTAATTATTTGTTTGTGTTTTTTATCCTGTATTTTTTATCTTGTGAAGCGCCCTGAGATCTTTGGATGAAGGGCGGTATAGAAATTTAATAAATAATAACAGTAATTTTGTAAACTGAGGCTCTTCTCTCCTATCAAACAAATCACCAAATGTTGAGTCTGAGGTGCTTTTGTTTCAGCCGGAATAACGATGGACCATCTTACATCAGTGTGCTGAGTAGCCCTCTAGAGATGGAACCAAATAGTCAATGCCACCCAGGCAAAAATTCAGCAGCGCAGATTGACTTGAAATAGATGACAAAAGGGAGCAGAGGCACACCAGGACTGCATGGTGTGGGGGCGGAGGGGAATTCTATGGGGACAGAAAAATGGCAACATGCAACCTTTTGCCACCCATAGGTGGCACCCTCCACTTAGAAACCTCATGCGTTCTGTATTTAGCTGGGGCTCAATGTAAAAGCATTGTTGTGACTCTGGCTTCATAACTTAAGTCAAGTGCAAAGCAGGGGAGCAAAGAGCAAGGTGATTTGTTTGTTGCTCCTGTCCTGGCACACACCACCAATGCTGTCATTCTGTTGTCATTCTACTTTAATTTAGAATGAAAAGGGCATATGAGAGGCAGGACAAAAGATTTCTAAATCCTATCTAGGGTTGTTCATGCTGATTGGGATTCAGTCTTGATCAACCAGCCACTGAAAGCATGGGACTAAGTTAGTTATGACTGACTTGTTCCAGCAGCTTCAGTGAGACTCGCAGTGTAGTCCCTGTGCATGTTTGCTTGGAAGTAAGTCCAGCTGTATCCGATGGGACTTCCGCCCAGGCATGTGTACATGGGATCAGGGCCAGTGACTTTAGGCTCTTTCATAAGATATCAGATGGGCAAATGCCTGTAAAAGTTTCTCCTCCATTTCTGCATTTTTAATGCCATCAAGTCAGATCCTGTGTAGACTTCAGTTCTGTACCCACCATGTGAGGACCATGTGAGGAGAGTAAACCTCTTGTTTGTGCAACCTTAGCCTCCTGGGGATGGGATGAAACACCCTGTGCATCACTTTTGCACCACATGCACCTGTCAATAGGTGTTGGCTCTCAACAGACTTACTATGTCTTGTTGGAGAAAGCTGTCCAGGGGACACAACCAACTGTATTTAGTTTCAATGGATGAAACATTTTGTTTGCTTTGAAAATGCTGTCTGTGCTGGAGTTACCTCACTTGATCGACGAATGGGCCTGCTGCTGCAGTGTGCATAGCCATTCCTCAAAGTGTGCAAAGCAATGGCCTAATTTTGTCTTCCCTACCTGCCCTGCGTAGGTCCTCGGGGCACGACACCTTCCGAAAAATGGAAGAGGGATTGTTTGCCCCTTCGTAGAGGTTGAGGTGTCTGGAGCTGATTATGATAACGCAAAGCAGAAGACCGAGATGGTGGGTGAGTATCCGAACTACCCAAAATTCAGACGGGTTGCAAGGCATGACAGTGTTGTTTGTAAGTCCAAGCCAGGGCCGGATTTAGGTTTGATGAGGCCCTAAGCTACTGAGGGTAATGGGGCCCTTTATATGTCCAGTTGTCCTTTGTCAACAACAAATTGTCACTGTTTTTTGTGTTGAATATATGCTATATGGTAATTTATGGACCTAATAGGTATCTAAAGCCATTTGCACATGCAGAATGTAGGCACCCTATATACAGAAATGAGCAAACGGGTGATATTTTAGGGAGCAGGCTAGCAGACGGGGCCCATTACTTACAGCATAGGAGCCTACACAACACAAAACACTGTTGCTGTATGTGGGTTTTATTTTATTTGTTTTTTATCTTCTATTTTGGAAATATACATCTAGGTTTTTTTTCTAATTTTTGGGGGGGGACCCCAAGAGAGTGGGGCCCTAAGCTATAGCTTGATTAACTTATATGTAAATCTGGCACTGGTCCAAGCTAAGAAGAGGGCCTCGAAATATTCATTACTCCTGTCAATCCTGTAAACCGACTTCCTTCTCATCCCCAGACGTATATGTGTACTTTACATTAGGGGTCCCCTTCCTGTTGCTCTCTTACTCTGGCCTCATGCCTTCAGCTCAGTGTGTGAAGACAAGATTTTCAAAGATTTGCTGTAACACTAGCCAGTCCCAAGCACACTGCGGCCTCTTTGAGGTGGCAAGAAGTGTTTCCTGTTCACTGAACCAGCTTTCTTCTCATCGCCAGAAGTATATGTGTACTCGGTGACCTGACGTTTGGGGTTTCTTCCTGTCACACTCCTTACCCTGGCCCCTGGGCTGCTTTTTCTCATGTCTCAAAATCATTGTGTGAAGGTGAGGTTTTCTGAGCTTCGTTCTAGCACTGGCCAGTCTGTGATGTGGCAAGGAGTGTTTCCTGCTCACTTGACATGCAAGAAATGCTAGGCAAAAGAGGGGGTGGAAACCGCTCTGGTGCCAAGAGTGGAAGCTACAGTCCGCTGCAGAAATGAGATCGTGTAGTAGCAGTAGGGACACAGGTGGCGCTGTGGGTTAAACCACTGAGCCTAGGGCTTGCCGATCAGAAGGTCGGTGGTTCGAATCCCCGCGGCAGGGTGAGCTCCCGTTGCTCGGTCCCTGCTCCTGCCAACCTAGCAGTTCGAAAGCATGTCAGAGTGCAAGTAGATAAATAGGTACCGCTCCGGCAGGAAGGTAAAAGGTGTTTCCGTGCGCTGCTCTGGTTGCCAGAAAGTGGCTTAGTCATGCTGGCCACATGACCCAGAAGCTGTACGCCAGCTCCCTCGGCCAATAAAGTGAGATGAGTGCCGCAACCCCAGAGTCGGTCACGACTGGACCTAATGGTCAGGGGTCCCTTTACCTTTTAGTAGCAGATTGCTTGATATGCATTAGATTACTGAGGTGGCTGGAAAAGAAATGGAGACATGGAGTTGATTGTACAAATTGGCCTAGTCATCAATAAGGAGCCGGTTTGTGCAGCCCTGGCAAGTTCTTGGAGCATTTTGTCCTGTGTTAATGAAGAAACACTTAAGAAGCCTCGGAGAATGCTGTGTCTCAGTAAGACAGGAAAGAGTCCAAGATCATCATCTTAGGAGGGAAGTGGGGAAAATGGCAGGTGAACTGTGACACTAACTGCAGCAATAAATGTGCCATACATGCATGTTTGTGGTAGCTTAAGTTTGAGATCCCATCTGATTGCATTGGATTTGGAGTTGAACAGCTTGGCCTCAGGTCTCTGCTCTGCCCTGAACTCGGTTGCATGGACTGGGCAGGTCTCAGTTTAGCCTCATTGTGGAAGGCAGTTAAAGTGGTGACAATTTTGGACAGCTCTCTGAAAAAATTGCACCCTTTTCCACATACCTGTCTATGATGTGCACCACCTGCTCTTCCTTGATGATGGGTAACAACAGATCCCATTAAGCTGGTGCCACAAACACATGTGAACGCTCCTCTTAGAGGCAGCACCCCTATTCCAGGCAAACAGGTTGGTGCTTGGTGCTGTGGAACAGCTGTGAGATTCTGGAAGATGGTTAACAAAGGATTAGGGATGCAGGAAGGTGGGCATTCCCATCAGGTACTTGCAAAGGTCACAGGGCTTTCATGGTTTCTTGAATGAAGGCATGCAAGAAAACAGTCACTCCCCTCTCCCGAATTGAAGGCTTGCTCTGGGAGGGGGGACCGTTCAGGATGAGGGTCTGCTCCATTGAGAGGACTGTTGCCCCCACTCCCCAGCAGCAACCCTTCAAGCCACACCCTATACAAAACCATGGAGAATACAGCTCTCCCCCCCAAAAAAAACTTCATTTTAAAATAGCCCCTTATGTAAAGCAATGGGCTGGTCTTCTACATGCTGTGAAGGGTGGTAGATGGAAGCAGCATCAAAATGAGGTGGGCATAAGGGAAAGGATTTGTTGAATTTACTAATTGAACTGGAATGCAAAAAAGGGAGGTGTGAGGAGGTCAGGGAAACAAGTGAATGAAAGACAAGATATGGAAAGATTGATTTGTTTTTAATTGTTTCTATTTTTTCTGGTTTTTGTATTTTCTTTTTTCTTTTTTTTACTTTTCTTGTATTATTGTAATTTTGTTTGAAACTTTAATAAATATTATTTAAAACAAAAACAAAATGAGGTGGGCATTATTAGAGGTGGCTTGTAGCTGTTTTTAATTCTCACCTGATTTGTACTGAGGGCAGGGTTCACTAACTTTAAACTGAGAAGGTTAACAAATGGATGTGAAGAACTGTGGCCCATTTAAAAGTGCTGCTGTGGAAGTTAATTTCCAGAGAGTAGTTCTGTAATCTGTTGTTGACAAAGGAGTTCTGCGACACCAGAGATTTAGCAGCTTACTGTGGATTAAGCTAAACGACTCTTAAAAGTATTGAACTACTTTCTTTTTAAAATACCGGAAATGATAGACATTGTATGTATGTTTTTTTATTTTATATAGTGGACAATGGCCTGAATCCTGCCTGGGCTCATAAGTCATTTCACTTCCATGTCAGTAACCCTGAGTTTGCCTTCTTACGGTTTGTTGTGTATGAAGAGGATATGTTCAGCGACCAGAACTTCTTAGCTCAGGCCACATTCCTGGTTAAAGGCCTGAAGACAGGTATGTGGTTGAAAGGTGTTTCCAATATCTTTGGAAGCACATTTCTGCTGATAAGATTCATGGGAGCATAGATGTTGTCGTGCAATCAGTGAAAAGTTGCTTTGTAATAAATTGTAAACGTCTGTTGTTAATTGGGTGAAAAAAGCAAGGCTGCAATCCTAACCACACTTAATTTGGGAGCAAATTGGGGAGTCACTCCCTGCAAAGCATAATCTGTAGCCAACACATGTTTTTGGTTTATTGATTGTGGTTTGACATAAAATAAGCCAGGGATGGTAGTTTGCTTACTTTGCGCCTAAGGCAGTGATGGCCAAACTTGGCCCTTCAGCTGTTTGGGGACTACAATTCCCATCATCCCTGACCACTGGTCCTGTTAGCTAGGGATGATGGCAGTTGTAGTCCCAAAACAGCTGGAGGGCCAAGTTTGGCCATCACTGGCCTGAGGAGTGAAAAGACCCTTTTAGACACAATCATAGTAATACAGTAACTTTGGTTTGCCATGATGTGTGAATGGGGCCAGTGAAACTACGTGACTGCAGTTAGTTGGCTCCCATTGTAGCTCCTTTTGTTGTCTTTTAGGGTACCGAGCCGTGCCTTTGAAGAACAACTACAGTGAGGATCTGGAACTGGCTGCCTTGCTGGTGGAAATCGATATCACCCCTGGCAAAGTAAGTCTTGCGCTCTTTAACTATTGATGGAACTGTGCAGCGTCCTGCAAAAGTCTCCCTAAGCTGAGGTTGAAAAAGTTGAATATGTGACAACTGTCTTGTCACGACTTTAAAAAACTTATTTCTCTTTTTGATTCTGAAGCAGGAGAATGGGGAGATTAGCCCCTTTGGAGCTTCGGCCTTCCGAGACAGGTCAGCAGATTCTCCAAGCCAGCAGGCGGGAGGCAGAGCCAGAGAAGGATCCTTGGAAGCCCGATATCAACAACCATTTGAAGATTTCCGGATGTCACAGGAGCAGCTAGCAGACCACTTTGACAATCGAGACAGAAGGTGAGTTCAGTGGGGATCAGGTGCTCTGGATATTCAAGGTAGAACTGATATTCTTAAAGTCAGGTAATGTCTCCTAGTCAGTCATTTGGGAATTGACCATTTATGGTGGTGAGCTTCAGTCCCTTCTACAGGGCCAAGGTGTCCTTACGTATTGCGGAGTTTGAAATGTTCCATAGCATAGGCAGCCTTTGTCTTAACGTATTATTTCCCATGGGAAGCTTAGACTTGCAACTGAGCCATGCATGCAGAAGGGAAAATGTTTTGCTTTTATAAGGTTGCCCTTGCAAAGGCCAGTAAGCATTCACCCAGATGAGGAGAATTATCATTTTTCTTTGTTTTGGGAAGAGGGTTGATTCTGCTGGAATGCCAGCCTTCCCTGACAGGGAAAGCGAGCCCCCTCACTGCCTGCAATGCTGCCAGCATCCCAAATGATTGTGGCAAGGGGCTGCTGAGTTCTGCAGGGATATGTTGGGCAAGAGGAAATGTCGTGCTTTCGACCACCTCCCCCACAAAAGCCACGAGCTGGCTAGTCCCATGGGAACAGGGAACATAGAGGTCTGCTCCCATTGGGGATGGCACTACACATACTGAATGGAACCCTTCTCATTCTCTGAATAGCCCTGATGCACTGTTCCCATGTGTGGCAGTGGGAGGGTGGGAACAATAGCCTAGGGCAGCAGGGCAACTCCCATCATCCCTAGCTAGCAAGGCCAGAGCTCAGGGATGATGGGAGTTGTAGTCCAACAACATCTGGGGACCCGCAGGTTGAGAACTGCTGGCCTAGGGGGTCTCATTCTGCATGCAAGAGATGTATCATAAAATGGGGAAGTTTTCAGTGGTTTCCCCTCAAGTGGTGAAAAAAGAAATCAAATTGTCAGGCAAAATATTCCCTGTGCAAAATTGCCATGGCAACAGCTCCTCATGAGAAACCATAGCATCAAAAAGTAAGAATCGAGCCTCAGAGACGGCAGGTGCTAGCTGCTAACAGCCAGTTCACATATCGATCATTTCCCAGTCATAGAAGATGGTGTAAATTTATCTGACTATTATAGAGTAAATGCATGACTAAACTTTGGTACCCACCCACCAACGTCCCATAAGGTTAGTAGGTGCCAGTGTGTTGTGGTGGACAATGTGTTGGGTTTGGATAAGACCTGGGATTAAATCCTGGTACACAAGATGGCCCCGACTGGTCAGATCCCTGCCTCTCCAGCTCACTTTCCTAATAAATGGCTGTAAAGATAAAAAGAAGGAAACCTTGAAGTTTCTTGGCGAAAGGGCAGGATGCAAAGGTGGATAAAACAAAAATGCCATTACATTTTCCTCTCAAGAAAATCAGCACAGTGTCACTAGATACGTGGCTCTTGAAGAAATCCCTCAATGCACTTCCAAATGTAACTTGCATTTTTATAGTCTGCTGGAGAGCTGTATTGTTTTTCAACCCCTTTCCCCCTTCCCTGCAGGGTCCTGCGAAAGACGCGGGTGAATGGGGACAACCGCCTCTAACCCAACCTTTGCCTGCTGTAAAGCACCCTCCAGTGCTTGTGATTCTCACGGATTGCTGTGAACTGGTTTCTATGGAAACGTCACTGCTTTGGCCTACTTTCAGGCAGCTTTTCGAGTTTCTCTTCCGAAGGGTGTTCAAGTGGAGAATTTTTTTAAAAAAAGAATCTACGAATCAATGGTTTCATTGTCTTGACCATGACCTGTAACAAAAACTCAACAGCAACAAAAGACCCTCTGCACCAAGCCGTAAACTTAGGTGTGCTGAACGTGTATGTCTTTGTCAGTACCTAAGGCTGGAGGCAGTGGCCTCTCATCGACATCCTTCTTTCCCAAGACTGTAGTTTATAGAGAGGATAATGCCCTCAGAGCTGTCCAGCAGAGCCTACAGGACCTGGATCTATCTATCGTATTATTATTATAGTTATTAAACTCCTTAATCACAGCTTGTGCACAGAATGTGAGGTGATTTCCATGGCAGAAAGAAGTAGGAGCGTTTCTCGTGGTAGTCAAGCACAATCCTGGTAGGACCTACCAGGCCCGGCCTCTGTGGCCATCTCAAGCTATGCAAGGCCCTCGAGTCTGTCTTTTCCCAAACAAAATGTTACTAAAAGTGGATCATGTATTGCATTAGCTACGGTTTTAGGCACACAAAGTGGCCACCTATATAATCTTCCTTTGGGTGATCAGTTCATTGAAAAGTGTGAGGCAGAATCACATGAAGACTACATTCTACTGTTTAAAAGTGACTGAGATATAAAGGGTTGAGGAGGGGAGGGGAAACCTGAGCCAAAGGCAGCTCTGCAGGAGTTAGAGCTCTTGCCACTGAAACAAACTTTTTTTTAATTTGCTTCCCGTTCTGTTGAAGTTCAGCCATCACTAATGGGGCAGGTATGTGCAGCAGAAGCTATGGGCTCTTGCGGCTGGTCTCCCTGAAGAGAGGCACTGTGGCTGTGGCCAAAGTTTCCAGGCCAGGAAAACTACAAAAGGCAATGTTCACTTGCTCTGTGACTTCACTGTTGCATCTCCTTATGGGGCAGGGGGAGACTTCTGCATATTGTCAAATCATCTCCCCCTTTCTGAGGAAGCCGCTACCAGTGTCCATGGACTCAGGCCACAGGAATTAGGCCATCTTCTTCCTGCTGTGGTTGAGCAGGTGGGGGCAACTTTAACCAGTCATTCCATGTTGACGTGGCAGCAGTGATGGTTGTGCTGCTGTGCTTTACTAGAGAAGCTATACCACCCTTCCAACAGAACTGAGTTGTTTTTATTTGGGCTTCCCAGATAGGAGCAGGAGGCAAACATGCTCCAGTCTCCAAAGGCAAGTTCCATTTTCTGTGGCAGTATTTTACTATATATTGTTTGACTCTCTTATGAGGAGCAGAGTCCTGCCTGACTCCTCCTGTCCTATGGATTCTGATCAGCTGGCTGTTGGCTGGGACGGATCAGACTGCACAATAAAAAATCCTCAAGTAACTTTATTTTCGTCTTTCCTTGTGTTTTTGTTTGGTGGAAGCCCCAAAGCCCTGCCTTTGGAATACTTCACTGAGATGAAGAGCTGCTTTCACATGTGACAAATTTCCAGGCTGGACAACCCTTCCCACTAATTGGGTGGTGCTCAAGTGCTTCAAGGAAATTCAATTGCAAGGAAGCTTGCTTAAAAAATGGAACAGAAGAAGAGCCTGCTGGATCAGGGCAATGCCCCATCTAGGCCAGCATCCTGCTCTCACAGATGCCTGTGGGAAACCAGCAAGCAGGATTCGACCACAAGAGCATTCTTGCCTCTGGTGGTTTCCAGCAACTGGAACTGCACACAGAACCACAATGTATGTGGCTTACTGTAGTTGCCTGCTTATAAGGGACAGGAAAGTGGATGGAGCAATGGACTGTCAACAGTGCAGGTGTGCAAATAAACCAAATTGTTCAAAAAGCGGCAGCTTATATTGCAATTTAGGACAGTTGGATGGACTAATAAACTACACAGCAGGGTAGTGAGTTATTTAAATGTCAATACACCTGTTGGGGACAGAATCATTTTCTCATCTCATAACCAGAGTTTGGAACTTTGCACTCGCCAAATCACACTCCAAATCCAGCTACAACATAGTGACAACTTTATGGAAGGAGCCACTGTGGCTGTAGTGTTAATAGACTGTCAGACTAGGGCCAGGGAGACTCAGATTCAAGTACACCCAACATATAATTCATGGGATGAACTTGGGACCTACCTCACAGGGTTGTTGGTGAGGGTAAACTGGAGGGTGAGGCCCATGTACACTGGAACTCCTCAAAGGTGGTATATAATGAAATAGACAAATTCAGAGAAAATTAGCAGAATGCAACAGGCATCGCTCCCACCAAGATTGACAAGCTACAAATGTGCTTTCCCCCCTCGTCGTTTATTAGGAACAACCAAAAAGGTCTCATATCACCAAACTGTACAAGCAAGCTCTTCCCACCCTCATAGCCACATATACAAAATGAAGGGAAACTTGCAGTTCACTTCGCAGAAGTGGCGTCATTGCTGAAAAGGAGCGAGTGCCATCATACCAGGAGCCAGTTCCCTCTGGCCAAAGGAGAACTGGCATTCACCCACACCAACACCTTCAGCTTTTTCCTCTTCAAAAAGTTTTACCAAAAGTACAAAAAGAATCCAATTTTTCTTCACGTAGTTTGTAAGTTAGCCCCACCCCCTCTTTCCCCAATACAAAAGCAGACCACCACCCACCCAAAGCTTGGTGCTAAAGGCCCCTTTTCAGCTACATTACAGCAACCTTGTGGATAAACCAAATTTCTATGGTGCATTAGAAGGTGCAATTTACAACAGTTTTCCATCAGCTTTGAAAGTCAGTAAGTGTTGCGGTCTGCTTTATGAGATAATTTCACCGAAGTTGAAGAAAAATGGATAATAATAAGTTATTACCCCACCCATCTGACTGGGTACCCATAGCAAAAACATCCTAAAGATAGAAACTATCCAGGAACATCTGCAAATGTTCTTACTCATTTGTTCCAGGCATTCAGGTTACCTGCTAGGATTTTCCCATAATAAGAAAAGCATGGTAGGGATAAAACCAAGAGGTGGGGGAAAGGAAGGAGCTCTAATTCAGTAAGAGCAACAATTCTTGCTCTGGCACAGACTGCTGAGAGGTCTTTTTCACTTGAGAAAACCCCACTGTTTGCATGCCCTTATAATAACTTTCATTTTTTAAATAAAACATATCCTTCATCAACATGATCCAGACATCATCTGTCATTATCAGAAGACCTGGAAATGAGAAACAGGCGAAATGGCATCAAGTAAAAGTAGGAGCCCTAAATTTTTATGGACTTTCCTCTACACACACACACACACACACACACACACACACACACACACCCATCCAGTAGGCCAGCTGCCATTTGTCTCTTCCCAATTTGCTTTACAGATTCAGAGGCACCCAGCCAGTGTGGCCAATGGGCAGGCATGATGGGTGTTGCAGTCCAATGGCAGCTGGAGGGGCACAGGTTGAGAAAATTGAGAGCAAATTATGGAGAGGCTCTGTGTGTGGGGGGGATGCATTCTCCATATTGTGCATGCCAGTTCAAACATTAGATTTCTGAGACAAGTGAAACAATGCTTATACACTAGGGCTGGGCGATATCTAGTTTTCAGCTACACATCATGATATACCAATATATCACGGTGTCTGAAATAAGGATGCAGTTACAGTTGTAGAGGCATAGGCTGGCTTCATGATTTTTCCTGCATTGTGATATTTGCTGGTGCCAGCTCTTGTGATTCGCTGCCTTATGCATGAGGCAGCTCGCTCTCTCTCTCTCTCTCTCTCTCTCTCTCTCTCTCACACACACACACACACACACACACAAAATTCACAATATGTTGCCATGACAAAAATTATGAAACTGATATCACAATATGGTCTTCAAACTGGTTTTGGATGATCTATCAATCTACCGCCCAGCCCTTTTATACACACTGAATTATTAACACATGAATCCAGTTCTGACAGGCTTGTGCATTTTCAAAGCTGATTCAGGGTTGGAGTTTCATTAGGTCTATGAGAGAGCCATTCATTTACTGCTAGTTACTGGAAGAGATGCACTGACACTATGTTTACATCATTCCTTGACCTAGAAGCTTTCCTGCTAGCCACATAGAGAGAGAAAGTTGCACAAAGGAAGCTGCCTTATACCTCATCAGGTAGATTCCCTCATCTGGCTCAGTTTGGTCTATTCTCATCAGTGGCAGCTCTCCAAGGTCTTTGACAGCACCTGCTGCATATCTGAGATTGCAGGGGTTGAATCTTGGACCATCTGAAGACAAAGCATACACTCTACCAATGAGCTGTGGGTCTTCTCCTACATACAGATCTCATTCAGTTCAACAGAGGGCGCACAGGATAAATTCCTAGCAGCTCACAAGGGCTTGCCTCTTTGCAAAGAGGCTAAACAAGCTGCCTTCACAAGCAGAGCTCATTCTACTGGTGAGCCTCACGCACACCAGCCCATTATTAAGAATTTTACAGTGTGCTATTCCCATTCCAAAGGGTGGTTCAACTGGCTTTCAGTTTTAAAAACAACAACTAGCAGAAGTTTCACTAGGAACCAGGAACAGATGAAATTAAGATTTCAAGTATGACTAATAAATACCACATGAAGAGACACTGTGTGCTTGCAGCTGAACACACTCCAATCCCTTCCCTTGATCTAAAAACATTTTGCATTCTGGTTCAGAATGCTTTGCATCTCCACATTTCATCTGTCATGTGCCTATTTTGTATAAATGGAGGGGGGAGGAGATTTTTTTAAAAAGGTTTCAATTATGAACAATGGTTTCTAAGACCTTGTGTATGTATGATCTTGCCTGGCACCATTTCCAAACTCTGAAACCGTCAATGATGGCACTAGCTGCAATGCTATGCCATCATTATGTCAAGATTTATTTGATGAGATGGCCATATGGAGTGTCATTGTCAAGTCAAAGCATCTACTGAGCACCTCCTAATCTCACAGCTTGAGCAATGCCAAGAGAGCCAGTCAACAAGTTATTGTTTATGCAAAAGCTGTACCACTAGTATTAATCCTGATTTCACTAAGCCAATACAGATGCCAAGTTTGTGTTAATATGATGGTGTGGCTCTGTTCAACTCAAAGCTAGTGTGGGGTAGTGAACACCACATTGAGCTGGGGCTGGGGAGGCTTGGGTTCAAATTCCTGCCCAAGAGGTGACCTGGAGTGAGCAAACAATGCCAAGACTGAACTAGTGGCCAACTAGATGCTGTTGGACTTCAACTCCCATCAGCCCTTGCCAATGGTCAAGGGTGATGGGAGTTGTAGTGCACCAACATCTGGAGAGATATTGGTTGCCCATGCCTGCCTTACAGGTTGTTGTGATGGGAGGGGAGACACACATGCACACGGACTAACTCGACAGGGGAGGAAGAGTAAACGTAAGGTCATAATGCAAGTTCAAAAGTAAGCCAATGCGCCAAAATAAATTAATGTAATTATGTTTGCAAAGCTGACTGACGGGCTTGAGTACTTTGGTTCCTACCCAAGTACTTTCCCTCCTGCGCTTGTGAAATGTGGGGGCAGGAGCAGAATGCAATGTGAAGAAGCAGATAAATGCTTTCAGAAAATGAAACACATAAATAAAACATCCTCAGTGCACCAAGAAACCCAGCTCCTAAGTGCCTTGCCTAATTGCCCAGCATGTAACAGTGTCTACAACTAGCTAAGCAGCCACATCTCCAACCAAAGTGCTCCAATATCCTTAGGAGAGGTGTGAGGATAACATTTTTCCACTGAAAATTCTACAATGGTACTTAATTTTCTAGCTACAACTGAGACTGATTCATGTAGATAAATCAGTGTAAAAAAGACTTGTTTTACCACCAAACGTCCAATCTCTGTCAAAATTAGCTTTTGTATTGTGGGGTGGGGTAGAGACCTACAACTCATTCTCCAGACAAAGACTCACAAAAATGACAAGCCTCTTTGAATTAGGAAGCTGTTTTATACTGAGTCAGACCACTGATTCATCTAAGCAGCTCTCCAGGGTCCCTTCGGTATGCAAAGCTTCTTCCAAATTTTCTACATAGTTCAAGAGTTGGAACGTCTTACTAGAAAACCTGTGCAAAATTGTGGCGATGCTTCTTGTGACATGAAACACAGCTGTGAAACCACTGGGGAGATCAACTAAAACTCTATGGTTTTGCTAGAGAGAGGAAGCAAGAGGATGCATTAGCTCATAGCATCCTCTCTTTGGAATCAGTCCTGTCTTGCAAACTCAAATTAAGGTACTGAATATGGCTTTAAATTGGGTACAGGTCAGCAAGTCAAGTCCCAATTATGCTCCTCTGTCCACCTTTGCTCTGTAGGGAGGGAGTTGCGTGCCCCCATTGGAATCCACATGCCCAAAGCTAGTCAGTCGTTGGATCAGACACCAATGTGGTAGGAACCACCATGAACTGTGCGT